CCATAGTATGAGGTGATCTTCTTTATCTTTTGTTGCGTAAGTCTGTCCTTTCCACCAAGTGAGCCACCTTGAGCTTTTTTTTTTTTTTCCTCTACAAGGGTACGTAAGGCAGCTCCCATACGCTTGTGTACATGATTTATGCAGTCCTTTTTGGCCACCTTCATGAAGCCGTACACCTCTTTTTCTGTGAGTGCATGGGATGTCCTGCTGTCGCCGTCCGACAGCATTGTCGTATAACGAAGCTTGTGCTTCTCAAGTGACCGCTCAAACAAGCGTAGTGCTGCCTCCACTTCCATCTGGCCAGCATTACAATCAACATTCTTCTGGCACAGAGGGGCATGCTGAATGAGCCAAGTAGAATGTCCTGCTTCTCCTTCCTTGGGTCTTGTGGTGCAAGCCAGGCAAAAGTTCTATAGCACAATATGGTGTATCACGTGACCACTATATATCTCAACAATGCAGCCAACACATATATGCGAGCTATGTCCATGCGTAAGCCAGGTGCCGTCATAAATGACGTCGACGTTTTCGGGCGCGTTGCCGAACTCCGCATAGAGCTCCTTGACGCGAGCAACGCTCGCCACTTCGCATTCGACAGCAGTCGCACAGCAGGCTTCTTTCATTATATTCATGTGGCTTTGGTAACTTGTGTTGAAGCCCTCGATGCGAAATATTCATCCCGGCGAAGAAGTCCGACAGAGCCGTTGCCCCCTTGCCGATACTGTTGATGGCCTTCAGGGCACGCATATTAACTTCAAACGGCCTTATTTTGGCGTCGGTTTCATCGGCTATACGTGGGGACGAAAAACGCTCTTCGCGAAAGTCACAACTACCACACGTGACTATGAGCTTCGAACACAGCCCGTACTCTTTCTTGGCCTTTGAAGTAGCGACGCTTCTTACACCGCATTCTGGGCACGCGACAAGTCCAAATAACGAGCACATCGCCGCCAGATCAACAATACCAAATTCTGTCCCGTTTTCTTTGCCACCATCCTCCAGATCAATATCTAGTAACTCGAACTTGCGTTCCGTCGCGCACTGCAATGCGAGTGATGCCTTCAAGCCTGCTGCATTTCTCGCGCACTCAGCAAACTCGTCCGCCAAATAAAACGCCGTGTCACGGTCTAGGATGCTGCTGGAAGTGCAAGATGACGATCCGACGACGACACAATCCGATGAGGTGCTGCTGCAAAAGCACAGGAGAGTGCACTGCTTCGGACACAAGCGGCAACGGCTGCGCGCTGTCGTCGGAATGCGCCGCTTCCGCGGCATTGGGCGAAATCGGCTGCACGTTGTCAGCTGCTTTCTTCTGACGGGCGTTCCACGGGCGCCTCCGTTTCTTGCCGTACGCTTGGCGCGTCTTCTTCTTTAGACGAGTGTCTCCAATCATGCCGGCAAAAGATGGAAAGTCGGTGCGTCGGTCGCGTAGCACAAGCAGGCACGTGTGGGAAGCAGACGAACAACGTGCGCAAAGCGTAATCGGTGGCCGACAAACAATATACAAAAAAAGTGCGGGCAACTTTGGCCGCATCAGCCAATGAGAAGCGAGAAACAGGGGGCTCGCCTGGTGCGCGCGCGCTCCGGCCAATCAGCTGCTCGGAAGGAGGCTCCGAAAAAGGGGTGAGGGCAGCCGTTCTGTCTAAGCGACGCCATTTTGAAGGGTGGCAAAATTCGCACAAAGGAATCAGCTTCAAAACAAGCCCAAGATGGCGGCGATCGGCCGACTGCCTAGCCGGCGGCGCGCGCGGGAAGTTTGAACCAGTTTGACCTGCCGTGGGTTGTTTTGCGGCTCCCGTGGCGACTTCATAATCAATTTTAATCCATTTACTGATCGAATTCAGCGTTCGCAATTTGAGGACACGTGCTTATAGGTCTAAAAATTTCAAATAACGCATTTTCTCAAAATCGACTTTTTGGCCATTTTTCACCATTCTAAGACCCGCGGCCCCCTTAATTTAATTGTGGGCTGTTCTTTTTTGTCACTTTCAGCATGTTATACAAGAATTTTGAAAACAGTCTTGGTCCTATAGCCTGGCTGGCTAGTTTCGGAAGCAGTGGTTAGACGTACTGCATAACTCTGCAAACAGTACAAACAGTTACACAAACGAAACTGGTATAAATGCGTATGTACTTGGACCTCACTATAATAAGCTTGCTTCTTACATAAAATTAAGTTTGTTATATCCAAAAAATCGTTATGAAGGTATATTCTTTACACTGTCTATTGCAAGACTATTTTTCATTTACTTTGTTATAACCAATATTACGAGGTTCGAGTGTACTAGATTACACAATGAACTTTTAGAGATAGAGAAAAGCACACGGATCATTTATCAAACCATACACTTCTTTTAACGTAGCCTGAAGGGACCAGGAAAATGTGTTTTGTTTAACAGGAGTTTTGTTTACTGAGAGAGGAGCAAGGCCGCAGAATTGAAGTACGAGACCAATCGCATCAAAGGCAGTTTGTTCCGTTAAAGCAGCAATTTTGTTTGAGGGAGTTTTGTTGACTGAGAGTCTGCTGTTTGTGAACATCGAACTCTTCACAACCACAGAATAGTGAAGGGCTGCTTTCACATCGGTCGGTATAGCGTTCCAAATAAGAGCGCCATAAAATTTTGTTCACTGCTAACTTTTCTAGCAACCGGTTGCATTAAAGCAGCTGTTAAGGGGAGAAGCGGGTCTTGGAGACCGAAAATCGCTTTGGATTCTCCCACTATCGTTGCATAATCTCGCCAATTTTCACGCGTCCTAGATTGGTAATTTAGCCATGAGAATAGTTTATGCGACGTTAGTGAGCTGAACTTTCGGCGATGGACGCGTGAAAAGTGGGCTTTTTCAGCGCGGCGGTGTTGCCGTTCTACGCTGGATACAGCAGCCGTCTTGGTCGCATTAGAAAGAGCCGCCGTCCTTTTTTCATATCCCGCCCCGTTTGTTTTCGTCCACTCAGTATGCATGTCGTGAATCCGCATAAAAAAAAAAAAGCCCCGTCGCGTGAGCCTATTGGTGCGGTGAGCACACGTGACTAAATCGCACCTTCCGATTCGCCGGGCCTCCCGAGCTGTCTGCTGCGTGCGGCAGCGGAGCGCACGCGAAGGAGCGAGTGTTTGTCACTTTGTACTCGTCGGCTTCCTGAACTTGCGGGAGCTAGCGAGAAATTAGAGCAAGCGTCTCTGTATAGTCTCTACGTTCGACGGTATACTCGTACGGCGCTGAATGAGCTCGACGAAGCCGCTGGGACAGTGCGGTAGGCCTACGCTCTCGGCCGCGTTTTCCCGAGCTGTCTGCTGCATGTGGCAGTAGGGCGCACGTGAAGCGGCAAGTACATCTCGCTCACGTGTCATTGTCCTCGTCTGCTTCCTGAACCCGCACGAGCTAGCGAGAAATTGGAGCAAGCGTTTTTCAAGTCTGCACATTCAGGCACGCCACCGGGCCAGTGCGTTAGGCTTACACTCTCAGCCACGTTTTGAACCTCGCTTGAAACTTGTATCACAAGTTCCGCACCGTTCACAAGTTTGGAAAAGAGCACAAGAAATCCACAGCAAAAAGAAATAATGGCGCGTTTATATCCGACGCACACCTAGTACAGGACGGCGCAGCGACGGAACACGATCCGTCGAATGAAACGCCGACATCTCCGCCTGTTTCTCCGGCCGCCTTGGACGACGTCGGCGATAGGCAGCGCATAAGGAAATAGACAACCTTTTTGACGAGTGCTAATCGTGCGCAACAGCAGAAAGTGAGTGCTGATAAGATCAGCAGCTTATCGGCAACTTCGGCCAGCGAGCGCAAGCTGCGAAGGCTCGCGACAGCGCACGAGGACTTGGACCCGTCGGCAGCTACCTACGGGATCGTGGACTTATCCCCGATAAACAAGCTTCTTGAAAGGCAACTAAATTCCGGACATGCAATGAGACCATTTCTATTGAAAAAGGTGAGCGTGAATATGGACTTGTGATGAAGCTGATTTCAGAGTGCCGCAACTGTGGACTTGTTGACAGTGAGTGGAGCTCTGGGAGGGTGCCCAGTCAGGCTAAATGTGCTGCATTTGAAGTGAATATCCGAAGTCAATATCGGGAATGAAAGAAGCCTCCACACGTATCCTCAAAGAACTTCAGCTAAAGCAAAACACCATGAGCTAGCGACGGGCAGAAGAAAAGGATTCTCGTCGAATCATGAGTGCCGAGCGAAAGCATTCAGCATCTTCCAGGCTTCTGCGACAAGCAAAGCGGCAGGCAACAACAAAAGTGCGACAAAGACTACTGCCCTGGTGCTTTCCGAGGCATTTATATGCAAGAGAAGCATTTTTGTTTGTGTAGAATTCCTTGAATATGCAGAGCTTTTGTTTTTTGCCATTTGCTCTGTTTCAGTTTTTTGGCCCCCTTTCATTCTTTTGACAAGCGCTTCTCAGCTTTGGTACACTGGAATTTAATAATTTTTGTCTTGCTGAGAAGCTGGATGCTTAGTGAGTGCACGAAAATGACTTATGCAACTATAGGACACCATAAATTTTTAGAAAAAATAAAATACAAAAATTATCGTTCCTTGATAATGGAAGGATGAACTTCTAAACTTCATAACCTTTGTTGTAGGAAAGCTAGAGCCATGAAACGTGCTTTTTTTCACTCTTTGCTAATTGTAGAATGCAATGACGTTTAATTCAGCAAGATATGTACAGCCAATTTACTGAAAAGATTAAAATAACTTTTAAATAATGACTAATTAAAAACAAAATTGTATGAGGTACATAAAAACTGAGTTCATATTTGACATATGCACATGTAAATACACCATCTCACAAGTTTTCATCACCCTAGCTTAAATAATAAGATGCCTGATGGCTAAGTGCCTCTTCCCTTAAATGGGGCGAGTGGTGGAAGGTCTTGGTCGTAAAGTGCTTAGCAGTGGTTTGTGAACATTTCATTGGCTGCTTTGCACTGCATTTCAGCCTAACCGCATTTCAGTCTGCTTTCAACTTACCTTCATTCTGACTGCAGGCTGGCTCTCAGTATCTCTTCCTCGGCACCTTGGTCGGAGAACTTCACGTCTACAATCTCTACACGGGGCTGGTGAGTTTGCAAGTCTCTGTTGAGGTCGTTGCTGGAATGAATTGCTGTCTTTGGCATCAAAAATGTGTCCTTGCCAAGTTTTTTTTTTTTTTTTTTGCCAAGTTTTCAGAGCTTTTATCGAGAATGTGTAGCATGTGCTGGCAAGTTTTCAATACTATTGCAGTCAAATCCAGCTCAATAATGTAATGTTATCAATTTTTTTTTTCATTTTCAATGACGACGGATATCTTGAAGGAGATCCTCGTTTTGTACAGTAAACTTTGAAATCCGTGGCATTCTGCCTGGGAATTTATAAATGATCCTTTCACCTTCATTTTCATCTCTAATAATAAAGCTGTGATGATGAAATTGGTGACATATAGAGTTCTCAGATTAAAACTTCTCAATGTAAACAATATATAAGTATATATTTTGCCTCATCAGTGTGTTTTATGGAGAAAGATACTTGTCTTAGAATAGTAAAAAAAGATTACTAAAAAAAGCTGTTTCGAGAAAAACGCATTTAAGGCATATTTGTATTTTTAGGCAACTGCTCTCTAAATATTATCATTGATTGCACTGAGGAAATGGGTTAAAAATTATTTTTTAGGTGCCACGGGAGCCGCAAAACGCATTGCAAGCGGCAAAATTTGTTCAATCTTGCTGCGCAAATCTTGCTTTGGTGGCAGTTGGCCGATCGTTGCCATCTTGGGCCTTTATTTTGAAGGTGTTTTCTTTGTGCGCGTTTTGCCACGTTCCGAAATGGCGTCGATTCGACAGAACGTCCTTTATCGTCCTTCTTCTGAGGGGATAGTTTCTGAACACTCATTGGCCAAAGCATGGTGAGCTCCTTTTTTTTGGAACCTCCCATTGGCTAGCGCAACCAAACGTGTCTAATATGTTTTGTCCCCATTTTTTTCTCTTTTTTTTAAGTTTTCATTAGTTCTTGTCAAAGTTTGCAGCTAGTTGCTGGCGTGAGACTTCTGATTTGCAACCACTTAGTTTTCTTATTTGGTCTGTGCGTTTTCATAGAAAATCTTCCCCGCGTTATTCTCACACACTCCAACTTTTCATCGATATTTCGCAAAAAAAAAAAAAAAGAAAAAGTGCGAGGGCTATGCAGTAAATATGGTATCTAAAATCTACAATTTTCGTTTGCGACGTTTTTTACAATGTTAGAGCAGCTGAGCACGTCCCCTTCCTAACCAACTCGAAATGTGCTGACCGGAAATTAACGTGAAACATTGTCGCTGGCTTTACTGTACAGTTCGCACTGATAACAGTGGTGATGTAGACTATGCCACCTTGTTTCAGTTGTCCATGAACGCCGTTTTCACTCCTTTGTGTCGCAATTCAGGTCGCACTCGGAATGCTACAAAAACTGTCCGATTTGACTGGGTTGCACCGAAAGATGGCCGAAACAACGAGGGTTCGGTGCCATTGAACTATACATAGGCTTGTCAAAGTCAGAGAACGCATCTGAATTATGTGATTTTCAGAATTGACGGGTTTTAAAGAAACTGGTTATTAATGCAGTAATATAAGTTACACTAACACCAGATCAGATTTTCAGTTGCATGTACTTGTGGCATTTTCAGTCCGCATGCCCCAGACTTTTTAAAGCACTGGGAACTGTACGCTGTCATGGCAGTCGCAGCTGTTGCAAGGTCGGGCATAGACGGCACTGGTTTTGGGTGAGGTGCCATTGAAACATATGCCATGGGACCACAATCACTGGTGGAACACGACATTGCACGCCTATTTGCTGATTGCAAGGGATTCTTGAATATTTTTTTAAAGACTATACTAGTCTTTCCTGGGACGCTGCAATGCAGAAATTTTGGTCTGTCTGTCTTTCTGTCTGTCAACTAAAACGATTCAGCTACCAGGCCAAATTTCAACCACTTCCTCAACGCCCTGCCGTCTTGATACTAGTCTTTCCTGGGACGCTGCAATGCAGAAATTTTGGTCTGTCTTTCTGTCTGTCAACTGAAACGATTCAGCTACCAGGCCAAATTTCAACCACTTCCTCAACGCCCTACCGTCTTGATCTCGTGTTTGCATTCATACTTGTGTGCATTGTCGATCAAAAAGCAAATATTATGCATATCTGAGGCGCACTATCAATACGTCATTATTTCGTGGTGTCTGTTTATACTATAAAATGCATAAATACGTAGTTCTGAAGACCATAGTGTTTATTGCGCTGCACTGACAATGCTTCGCTGTGCACGAAAGGGCGTGTCTTTTCTACCTTTTGCTAAAACTATGCGGTGCTGCCACCTACCCGTGGCTCTGCATTTTGCAGATGCTTTCGTTTTACAAGATTACTGCCAGATGGCGATCATCTAGCAGACAGCGCCTCTAGGATCCAATTCACCCGTATTCTCGCACAGAACATCAAATAAACATTCTGTTGTCTCTCTCCAGACAGAAGACTGTCGTTCGACGACATTTGCAGTGAAACATGCAGATGCGCAACCATTTTTATTATATATATTTGAAGCTCCTTCTTGATCCTAATCAAACTTGCTGACTATGTATATCTGCATGCTGATTTTCAGTATGCTGTTATTTTTCTAGCACAGTATGTAATTTTTAAGAATCTTAACTTTTCATGGGCAAGGCCATGTAAAACTGGGATTTCACTCGTGAATGTTCAGCATGCCATAACTTTTGTTTAAGTGGGTGTAGAACATCTGATTTACTTTGCAACTTTCACGGTTGAGTTTGCTGTGGTGGTGCTGTGTTGCAGATCCAGAGATGGTGAATTCGATTTCGGTCGCCGCGGCCACATTTTGACAGAGGTAATGGGCTAGAGGCCAATGTTGTGTGCGATTCCAGTGCACAATAAAAAGCACTTAGTGCGGAAAACTTGCTAAGCCCTCCAATATTATTATTAACTTTCTCAGTCTAGGTAAACTATTGCTTTCAACAAGGCTTGTGAAATGCCTGCCATTTTTAAAAAACTGCGTATATATAGTATTAGAACAAAAATTGCTTGACTTAACTCAACACACGCTTTCATAAACTCAGCAAATGTCATCTATGTCGATTAGGCATCTAAGGAAGCAAAGTGTTTTAATGTGCATTATTATAATGCCTGTCAAAATAATGCTCCTGACCTGATTGACACCTAAATATCTTCATCATTTCAAATTTGTTAATATTGTTACGAAAAGGAGAACTGCGGTGTTGCGTGGAACAAGAACGCAGAATTTCGGCAATGACTTGGGATAGAAATGTATGGCTACGGTCTGTGAAAAACTGTCTCGGAGCACCGTGAATCAATAAAACGTCTCAAAACAAGAAATCAGCGACGTCGATTGCACAGCTGGTCGGTAGAGCTCGCGTAATAGCATTGCGTGTAGCGTAGTCTGTAATAACGGCTATCCATTTGTTTCCCAATGTCCATGTGGGAAAAGGTCCAAGCAAGTCTAACCCAACACTGTAAAATGGTTCCGTGGGTATGTCAATTGGTTGAAGATGGCCAGTGGGTAGCAGCGATGGGGTTTTACGACGTTCGCATTGGTCACACGTGACGACGTGTCTGCGTACCGAGCGAGCAAGGCCTGGCCAAAAGAAACGGCGCCGGAGGCGCTCGGACGTGCGGGATACGCCAAGGTGTCCAGCCGTGGGAGCGTCGTGAAGTTTGGTGAGAACACAGCGGCGCAAATGATTAGGCACAACAACGAGTAGGTCAGGCCCGTTTGGTCGGAAATTGCGACGGTATAGCACACCCTTTTGAATGACAAAGTAGTGGACTGAAGCATCATTTGTGGAAAATTCCATACGGCTGATGATGTCAAGCAGCTCTGGATCACGCTTCTGTTCTTCCCCAATATTAAAAAAGTCGGACACTGACAAGATAGAGTTCTCCGTGGGCTCGTCAGTGTCCTCAGGATCGCCGACAGGGTACCAAGAGAGGCAATCGGCATCATGGTGTAGGCGGCCAGATTTGTAGACCTCCAAATAGGAAAACTCTTGCAGGCGCGAAGCCCAGCGACCAAGGCAGCCTGATGGACCTTTCAGAGAGTTGAGCCAGCAGAGTGCGTGGTGGTCGGTAACTTCCGAAAATGGGTGTCCGTATAGATAAGGTCGAAATTTCGTCACCGCCCATACAAGAGCCAAGCAGTCACGCTTTGTGGTCGAACAGTTACGTTCAGGGGCGGATAGGAGGCGGCTAGCATATGCAATTGCGCAATCATGGCCATGTTGTTTCTGAGCCAGGACTGCACCAATGCCATGTCCACTTGCATTTGTACGGATTTCCGTAGGTTTAGCAGGGTTGAAGTGTGCCAGAATCGGAGGAGTAGTGAGAAGAGCGACGAGAGTCGAGAACGCAGAAGCCTCTTCGAAGACCCATGAAAACGGGACTTCTTTCTTGAGGAGCTGCGTAAGCGGCCTCACTATGTGTGCAAAATTTTTCATGAAGCGTCGGAAGTAGGAGCATAGTCTGATAAAGCTGCGTGCATCCTTCGCAGATCGTGGTACAGGAAAGTACAGGAAAGTACACCGTTGGCGTCTACTAAATGGCCAAGCACTGTGATTTGATGGCGTCCAAAGTGACATTTGGACGAGTTGAGCTGCAGGCCAGCGCGACGGAAGATTCCCAGGATGGCTGAGAGGCGCTCTATATGAGTTTCAAATGTTAGTGAAAAGACGATGACGTCGTCCAAGTAGCACAAACAGGTGGACCATTTCAATCCTCTGAGCAGGGAGTCCATCATTCGTTCGAAGGTGGCTGGAGCGTTACAAAGGCCGAAGGGCATGACCTTGAACTAATATAGGCCATCGGGGGTGATAAATGCCATCTTTTCACAGTCCATTTCATCTACCTCTATCTGCCAGTAGCCGGAACGAAGGTCTATGGAGGAAAAATAGTGGGACACGTAGAGGCAATCAAGCGCATCATCTATTCCTGGCAGAGGGTAGACGTCTTCTTTGGTAATTTTGTTTAGGTGTCGATAATCCACGCAGAAACGCCATGCACCGTCTTTCTTGCGGACTAGCACTACAGGAGAAGCCCAAGGACTGCAGGATGGCTCAATGATTTCCTTGGCGAGCATTTTGTCGACCTCACTTTGGATAATGTGACGCTCGGCCGCCGACACCCGATATGGACGCCTATGAATAGGATGGCCAATACCAGTGTTTATGCAGTGGCTCATACCGGTAGCTTTCCCCAACGGACGGCCGCTGATGTCAAAAACGTCGATGTAGGATAGCAGAAGCCGGTGGAGCTCGTCAGTCTGCTGCGGCGTTAAGTTGGAAGCGATCGTCGACGTAATAGCGCTTTCCCGCGACGGACAGAATGGTGTGCGGTAATGTAATGCCACGGTTTATGAGGACATCGGTGATAGAGGTCGGAACATAGTCACCGTCGGGAACTGGTGGTATTGGGACGAGCTCTATGTACCGTAAAAACCGGAATATAGGTCGAATTTTTTTTCAAAGAGACGCGATGAAAAGTCGACCCCCGTCTTATATACCGGTCATTGGCAGAAAACTTATGGAAGTCTTGCAACAATGGGTTGACAAAAGTCGGTAGGCTCCATTGCCATCGTGAGCATCAGCAACAGCATCGTTGGGCGGCCGCGACGCCCATTTTGCGTTTTGTTTGTCCCGATTGCGAAGCAAGGGTGGCTGCGGTGGTTTTGCGCTGTTTCATTATCCCCATCTGAGGCTATCTCCTTCAATATGAGTGGCAGCCGACGTCAGTTCACGATGTGCTTCAAGAAAAAAGTCATCGAATATGCGGAAGCCCACGGCAAACCTGGCGGCACAACGAGAATTCGGCCCGACGGAGAAGAGCATCCGATACTGGAGGAGCCAGAAACAGCGCATCATAAGTTGCAGCAACCAGAAGAAAACGTCGTTTCGTGGACGGACTGCAGTTCACCCCGAACTGGAAACGGCACTCGTCGAGTTCGTACGGGAGCTGCGCGCAAGGTCGCTACCCGTGACAACGGAGTGCATCCGCGTGAAAGCGCTCGAGATTGCGCGCGACTCGGGGCTCACGAGGGCGCAATTCAAGGGCTCGCCATCGTGGGTGCGCCGATTCATGAAGCGGAAGGGCCTTGTTCTGCGGCGGCGTACTTCAGTGTGCCAAAAACTACCCGCAGAGTTCGAGCACAAGCTTGTGGAGTATCAGCGCTTCGTCATCGAGCTTCGTCGACAGCGTTGCTACATGATGGGCCACATGGGCAACGCTGACGAAACTCCGGTCTGGTTCGATATGCCATCGAACACGACTGTGACCGAGAAAGCAGCGAAGCAAGTGAAGCTATTGACAACGGGCAACGAGCATTCGCGGTTTACCGTGATGCTCGCGTGTACAGCAGACGGAAAGAAGCTGCCTCCTTATATTATTTTTAAAAGGAAAACGCTACCGAAGGAGGACTTCCCTCGGGATGTGATCGTGAGGGCAAGCGAGAAGGGGTTCATGAACGAATCCCTCATGCTTGAATGGATCCGGCTCGTGTGGAACCGGCGACCCGGTGCCCTTTTTCAACGACCGAGCATGCTGGTGCTCGACTCTTATCGCGGTCACCTCACGGCCGATGTGAAGCGATCGCTGTCCGATGGCAAGACGGATCTTGTTGTCATCCCCGGGGGACTGACATCTATACTCCAGCCACTGGACGTTGTGCTGAACAAGCCGTTTAAAGGTCGCGTGCGCGAGCTCTACAGTGAGTGGATGCTGGGAGACAATCCCAAGACCCCCGCTGGCCGCCTACGGCGTCCACCGCTCGCAACCGTTTGTGGCTGGGTGTCGTCAGCCTGGAAATCCCTCCCGGAAGAGATGGTTCGCAAATCCTTCCGCAAATGCTGCATCAGCAACGCGTTAGACGGCACAGAGGACGATGCACTCTGGGACATCGCTAGTGAAAAACAAACATCATCCGACTCGAGTTCGGATGAGTCCGAGTAACTTCGTGACCTCCTAGCATTGAACAGTGTCTAAATAAAAATGAATGTTACCACAGTGCAGCTAGTTGCGTTGCGTTTTTATCAAGGTAAGGGTGTGCCGCGATACTTTGCGATTTTTTTAAATTTCTTTTTTTACGATTCGAAGTTTTGGGGGGTCGTCCTATATTGCGGTCCGACCTATAGTCCGGTTTTTACGGTAGGTCAGTGTCTATGGAGGGAGGCGCGCGTGTCTTGTTGTGCAGAGGCGACTCGGCCGTTGTGTAAGAGGTTCTGTTGTGGGCAAGTGTAGACGGAGCGTACTGGTCGAACAGTCTATGAGGGCAGAATGCGCGGACAGGAAGTCGAGGCCTAAGATTATGTCATGGGGGCATTTATCAAGGACGGTAAAGAGAACAACTGTGTGTCGATCCGCAATGCTCACACGAGCGGAGCACATTCTAACGATAGATGCTATTCCACCATCCGCAACACGGACGAACTGAGTGGTCGCAGGTGTGAGAACCTTCTTAAGCTTGCGGCGAAAATCACTTGTCATCACGGAAAGTTGAGTGCCGGTGTTGACAAGAGCAGTGACATGTACGCCGCCTACTTGTACGTCTATGAGGTTCCGTTTTGTCGGTATCGTCAAAAGAGGATTTGCGGTCAGTCCGAGCGACGCAGCGCCACCTCCGGGGGTTGCAACACTTAGTTTTCTGTCAGGGAACCTTGTGGGAAGGCGGGGGAAGATGGTTGGCAGGGATGTAGAGAACAAGACTGGTGACGTTGGGGGGATGGAGAGCGGGAGTAGCGGTGTTCAGAAGCAGGTTCCTGGGCAAAATGGTCGCGGCTGGTCTCATGGCGATAGGCAGGACGAGCATAGAAGGGACGAGAGGACGGTTGTTGTGCAGGAGGACACCAGTGGCTTCTGCAATGACGAGAAATGTGCCCGATTCTGTGACATGAGAAGCAGATCTGCTTGTCATTGTGTGTTCGCCATGCGGACGGATTATGGAACGTTGAGGGAGAGCCGGTCGGGAGGCGGTGAGATAGAGTGAATTCCCAAGCTGACGATTTCCTGTCGGACAACCGCTTGAATGAGAGGCAACGTAATTGGCGGAGAGGGGGTCAGGGGACGTTGGTCCCACCTTAGCTGGAGCAGCTGCTTCAAGTTCCCGCCTGACGATTCGCGTCAAGCAATCACAGGTGTCTGGTGGATGTGTCGAGACACGAGGACGTCGCAGTGGTGTTCATGAGGCGCTGGAACTGATGGGAGATGCGTCTGCTTTTAGCTTGTTGGAACCGGCGGTATTCGTGAATGATCGCATCAACAGATGACACATTGTTAAATACCAACAAGTTGAACGCATAGTCGGCAATACCCTTTAGTATATGCGCAACTTTTTCAGGTTCGAACATGTTTTCGTCAGCTTGGCGGCATAGTGAGAGGACAGCCTGAATGTAACCGATGTAGGGCTCCGTGGAAGATTGAGCGAGAGTCGACAACTCATTTTTCGCAGCTTCACGACGACCAGAGATGTTGCCAAAAAGCTCACGGATCTTTTCCTTGAAGCTGTCCCAGCTTGTTATGTCATGCTCGTGGTTGTCAAACCAAACACGAGGGGTTCCGTCCAGATAAAAGATGGCGTTTACGAGCATAAGAGTGGGATCCCACCTGTAAGTGGCGCTGACGCATTCGTAGAGGCGTGCCACTGGTCGACGTCGGAACCTTCACTGCCCAAGAACACGCCGAGGTCTTAGAGCGCGGGAAGCGTCACGAAAGTTGTTGCGGGCGCTGGGTTGACTGGCCGGGCAGAAGAGCGGGCAACCGGAGAGGATGCAGCCGAGTCTTGAGTGGTCATGATGTAAGCCGCGAGGGAGCATCCGCTTCGGAGTTCCGTAGCAAGGACGGGAATCGCACAACTCCACCAAATATGTTACGAGAAGGAGACCGACTCGGAGGGGTAGTCACCGATGTATTTACAGACGGTTAGGCGAGCAGGGCCAGCCACACAGATTAGCTCACGCCAGTCTATCTGCTTTGTCTTCTTCAACTCCATGCACTGGCACGTAGCAATATTTTGCTTTTTGTGAATTCCAACATAAATTTATGCAGTGTTTTAATAATTAAAGTGCAATCTTCATTGTAGAAAGGCAGGCAGCATTGTTGCCTTCAACTGGCATATAAGCTATGCCAAGGAGACATCTTGAGCGTGCAGTCAGTTTGGCGATGCGGGCTCATTTCCCAGCCGTAGTTACCATATTTTTGTGAGGGCAGAATGCAAAAACTCTTGTGCACTTAGATTTAGGCGCATCTCGGAGCGCCCCAAGTGGTCAAAATTCATTCGGTCCTCCACTGTGGTGCACCTCATAATCGTGCTGTGGTTTTGGCATGTGAAACCCGAGAATTTAATCAACTAATTGAGCAAAGGAGTAATTTGTGTTTGTTGTTTGCAGGAAGAAGCAACTTACTCGTGCCACGAGTCTGAACTTACGCACTGCCAACCGTCCAAGGTCAGTGAACATTGATTGCTGTGCAGTGAACACTTTGGGTGGTCAAATAGCATGTTTGAAACACTCGATCATGTGGTGTGATTTTTAAATTTGAAGTGCGAATGATAGTGACAGCAACACTTCCATTCTCTTGAAGCAGTTGAGATAGCTGAGTTTTGCCGTTCATTTTTTGTTTTGTTTTTTTAACTGGCTTGTATGTAATAATTGACCTGTGATTGTTTTTTGTGAAAGTGTATTTTCTGCCAGTTCAGTTGGTGTTAAAATTGCTCGTAAAACAAACTGCAAGAATAGTTGCTTGTTGTGTGTGCATTCTTGTCGTCTGTTTTCTGTCTTTTTTTTCTGCTTTAAGTTTCAGTTTTTCCTACTCTGTTGTTTCCAATAGCTTACATTTCGTGTAGTATCACTTCGCCCATCTTATAGGATTGGATTTTTTGCCTGCCTGTTAGAAGAAAAAAATATAAGGGTAGTTTTCAAGATTGACAAGTTCATGAGTTCCTTGGAAACTATCTATGTTGGCAATACACGGTTGCAGCAACATTTCAAATGAGGAGTGTGCATCGAACTGTGTATAGATTCAAGGATAGCCAAGGATAGACAGTGAACGCTTGGCTACCCCCAAATTTAACTTTGCCTCTTACAGTCGGTGCTTCTCAAAGTTGCCATTGTTTCCCGCACGTTTTGAAAAAAAAAAATAAAGCTTTTAAAACTTTTCGCAGGATGGGAAGTTCTTGCTCACGTCGTCAGCGTGGCGGAGGCCACTTTCGTCGTTGTGGAGCTTCACAGATGTCTTTGACCAGAAGTGAGTTGCAGCAACTGTCTTGCATGTCTTATTATTGCTTAGTTATTATGATTAAAACATTGCACTAAGTGCAGTGTTTCAGTGGTAATTAGCAAAATTAGCATAATGCTATCCCAGTATTCAAAACATGTGGGGTCTCCGATAAGATATCGCCGCTCTTAGAACAAACATTCACAGTAGACGTGTATAGCATGGGCGATACAGACTAGCATAGGCGCTGAAAAGGAAGCATTGTGATCCCAACTAAGCAGCAGAGCGAGTGGTGCGAACTGGCAGTAAATAATCATCCCACAAGAATTCTCTCGCAAATGGCGAGCCGCACTCTCCGGAACGAGTGTTGTGAACATTACTGTTATAGCATCAATAGTGCGTATGGCGGCTTTTATGAAAGGTCATGCAAATTAGCAGTCAGTATGAAATAGGCTTGTGCTCAAATATTCAAATGAATAATGCAGTATTTGAATTGCTTCTAATCGAAAAATAATTATTAAAAATTTTGAATTATGCAAAAAAAAAAAACGTGGCACCCGCATTTGACACTGTAGAAGTGGTTTCGCTGCAGTGAATCAGTGCTAAGTTGTGAAAACATGTGCCCAGGGGAAAGTTGCATTGCCGTAAAGCCTCATTTTAAGGTTTAATGAGGATATTATCCTCACATAGATTCATTTTTTAAAGTTTAAAAGCTTGTTATATCGACCTATATGCTCCAACTACAGTAGACTCGCATTAGTTCAAACTGATAATTTATACTTTTGGTTAATTCAAACAAAAGTAAATTTTTGATTGGCCCCGCTATTCTTTGAATGTATTTAAAAGCCTCTTAATTCAAACTTCATCATTTGGTTAATTCACACTTTTTGTGGTTCCATACCAGAAAATAAATGCCTAATCGTAATGTGTGGTGTCACTTCACCTGCAGTCATATATTTGAGAACTTCTGATAATTAAAATTTTTTGATGATTCAGACGAAATTCACAGGTCTATTTGAGTTTAAATTAACGAGAGTAGACTGTATAGTAAATTTGAAAAATTAATTGACTGATTGATATGTGGGGTTTAACGTCCCAAAACCACCATATTTTTTCAAAAAGCAACATATTTTACAGGCTATCACTTGCATTCTATCGAAAGTCGAATCCGGCTACTGTTAAAAGTTGTACTCTCTTTGAGGCAAAAACGAAAATAGCATCTGCACAGACCTTCAATTTTAAAAACAAGTTTTGTGTAGGTTATCTAGGTCATGACAAATATGCCCTTTTTTTTTTTAAATATATACTGTATATACTATTAGAATTCGATTCGCAATAATTTGACCAAAATCACTATTTGTTTCGAATTTGCTTTGAATCTAAACATTAACTATTCGCACAAGCCTAGTATCAAAGTGTATATCAATCACATCTTTACTTATCCATTCAAAAGAAGCCAAAACCTTTCTGCGAATCGTGCACAGCTCTCAACACGAACAGAAATATTGTCTATGATATACGGAAAACTAAGGAATAGGTGCATGCACTTGTCTAAGCAAACATAAATGTACAGGAGATGTGTGAGCACTTCTGGCTGTAGTTCACTTTGTGGAAGCGGCAGCCAATTGTAGGAAGAAGAGAACAATGAAGATCGCGGGTGCGCTCGTGGCGCGCGGCAGCCGCTGGCAGCAGGCAGTTGCGGCCCTGGTTCCGATCAGTAAACATAGTTTCTGTCTGTCTCCGCCTCTTTCCTGAGGGGTTCCTTGGCTAGTCTCAGTTTTGAACCTCTGCATTTGGCGCCCAACGTGGGGCACTTGGTAAATCCCATAACAGCTCACCTTTTACATGAGTGGCCTCTTCACAACTGTTGTTTACAGCACCATGCGCATGCGCTCTGGTGAGACTGGACAACGCGGCAATGCTGCCCTTTGGCTCACTCGCTGACGTCCACATCGGGTTTTCGCAGATTAGGCACATGCTTAAAATACTTGCAACACGAAAACTACTGATCGGTGGGCTGAACCTTTGCAGACATTAAAAATGTCACAGCTGGTGTCAATTGATGTCATTTTCTTTTATGTCACAGAAACATCCACCACATAGCAGCACAGCATCTCCTCGAGGCCAATAAGTAATTTGATATGTCAAGTCTTTTTATATGTATATAAAATATATTAAGGTATTTTACAACTCTTTGATATATGAGGCGTTTTGTTAACATGGGCTCAGTATACAGTGTTTCAACTGTAGTAGTACTCGCATCATGCACTTGAACCTCATTTTAACAAAGTTGCATCCTACACAAATATAAGTACGTTACATGTAAAAATTTGTTATAAAGGTATATTTCTAGCAATAAAACGATTAAAAAACAATTTTTCATTTAATTTTGTTGTACAGTCGAGCCCACATATAACAGCTCTACTTAAAACGAACTTTCGCTTAAAACGAACAATATCCGCGTGACCGTGAAAATATTGTGAGGAACCGGTTTATTCAGTTAGGCTCGAGCTAAATCACACTGATGATATTTACAGATGATGAATACCGGTGATGATGATATCTAAAGAGAATAAAGAGTCATTCGCTTGTCGCGCTTACACTAATTTTTCCGCACGGTGAAAGCGGCCGCTTGGTCGCCTGAGAGTATTATGAAATGCGTCGCATTTAAGGGTTTAAATGAGATACACGCACTATCTCTGTCCCTCGGCAGCGATGATCAAGATTAGTGCTAAGAGGGGAAATGCGGTAATGGACAAGAGATGTCTGTTCAACCACCGCGTGCGGCCCAACGAAGCGACTGATCAACTTGTCGCATAAGCCAGGGACGCGCAGTGGAGTTCATAGAAGAACTTCATCACCAGGGAAAAAAATCGCAACACGGCGAGACGAGTCATAGTGACACTTACGAGTGTCTTGAGAGAGGCCGGTGTTAACGTGGGCCAGGTGGCGTCAGTGTGCGAGACGAGATAAAAATTCTTCAGAGAAAGGAACCGTCGAGGGTGCAGAGGCCGAAAAGGAAGAGACGTCCAGAGTGAAACTCGGCGAGCGACCGTGGATGAGACAAAATGGAGAAAAGCTGGTAGTGAACTGAGCAGCCGTATTATAAGCAAATGTCACGAAGGGTAGAATTGCATCCGAGTTCGTGTGGTTGGGGTGAATGTACATGGCGATCATGTCCTATAGGGTCCGATGAAAGCCGTTGGTCTACGGGTGGTTGCTAGAATTGGTCTTGCGAACAGTGTTCGAGGCATGCCGAACTGGCTCGACAATAGAAGAGAGAAAGACTGCCACGATCGCTCAGGAGAATGCGTGGAGCTCCATGGCGCGAAAAGATATGGCAAAGAAAGAAATCGGTGACCTTAGTGGCAGTCCCAGTTAGTATAGAAGCTGTTTCTGTGTAGCGGGTAAGGTGGTCGACGACCGTGGCAATCCAGCAATTCCCATTGGATGATATAGGAACAGGGCCATACAAGTTAATTCCAACGACTTCAAAAGGCGAGGCGGGACAAGGAAGAGGTTGCATTAATTGATTGATTTGTGTGGTTTAACGTCCAAAAACCACCATATGATTATTAGAGACGCCGTAGTGGAGGGCTCCGGAAATTTCGACCACCTGGGGTTCTTTAACATGCACCCAAATCTGAGCACATAGGCCTACATTTCCGCCTCCATCGGGAATGCAGTTGTCGCAGCCGGGATTCGATCCCACGACCTGCGGGTCAGGAGCCAAGTACCTTAGCCACTAGACCACCGGTGGCGGGGCAGAGGTTGTATTAAGCCAGCTGGAGCAGTTGTCGGTCGTTTTCACCGTTGGCAACGGACACAAGCGGCGACGTACTTGGCGACGGCTGAAGAGAGGTCAGGCCAAAAACAACGACTTCGCATTTTGTCATAAGTCTTGTGATAGCCTAGATGAGCGGCGGTTGTACAGGTGATGATGATATCTAAAGAGAATGAAGAGTCATTCGCTTGTCGTGCTCACAATATACATTGTTTCAATGACACAAAATCGCAGTTACAATGAACGTCTCCGAGCGCCGCCGATCGGTTACAGCGAACAGAGGCGTCGTGCTGCCAACTTCCCGGAAAACCACTTTCGACCACGGATGAGGCATCGGCGAGGTGCCCATAGATTCTTATTGTTAAACGCCTCCGCGCCCCTCTAGTTGTCACTCTTCCCAACCGCTTTTTGTTACGCACCCTTCCGTCCTCTGTCCCCCTACTCTGAGCACCCCGCATCGCCTGACGTGACCAGTGTTTTCACACTGCCACCCATCTTTCGGAGACCGGCCGGCCATCTCTCCTGTTTTTTATCACTGTTACTGTCGTTGACGTCACTGGCCTGGAGTGACCAGACCATTTGCCAACTTTGTCTGTATCCGATCGTCTGCGTCTTGTCTTATCGTACTGTTCTAGTGCACGAGCTTATGCTACCCCACCCACTCTAATAATTCGCGATTCTTTCCGTGTTTAGGACCTGTTCTCGCTCACTTCTCACTCGGCTAAGCTTGCCCTCCGCACGTGTGCGAAAGTGTAAAAACGGCTGTTAATTTACGCGGAACGAAGCGCAAAATATCGAAGTCGGTGAGGCCACGCAAACCTGCCGGCGCAACAAAACGATTCTTTGAACACCGCCGTGCTTAATTTTTTAAGTTTCCCATTGGCGGCTATCTTCCCATACGACAGCTGTTGCCTTGAAATTTCCCAGTGCCGTCAGTGGGAAAGTTCGATAATTATTTTCTTCCTTAAAGCAAAAGTTGTCAAGATAAGATTTACCAAATAAAAAGAACAGTTTATTTGCTCTAGATTTAAACTATAAAGTTGATTTATTATTGGACCACCACATGGTGCAAATTGCGTCTCAATGTGGACAAAAATGATGATTTTGTATAATTTGTGATTTTTTTTTCGTAAACATTAGCAGTTTGAGAGGTCTAAAGACTTTTTTTCCTAAAAATATACCTTCTGTGGAGTAAGTATTCACTGTTCAAGTATTCATGCAAAGTTCAGTATTGCAATAAAAAAATTCAAATATAACGCACTTTGGGTATGTGGCAGAAAACTTGCACTGATATTAGTGAGCTTCAAATAGCTTACAAAAGTACATTTACTTATCATGTAGACCAAATTTTGTATATAAAGAAGGAGCGGTACCTCTAAAGTAAATTTTTTCACATACAAGACGGACGACATTCCATGAAGTTCAGTAGGCAGCCACATGACAAAAAAGTTTTTCTCACCGAAATATTCCACCAGTCCACTGCTTTCAATGGAGTAAGTCAGCACGACTTCTTTCTAATACATTTGAGATGGTCGCGAAAATGGCTTGAACGTTTGGCATAGAATGACCCATTCGCAATTTGCAAGCTGTAGCAGGTGTGTTTGCTGGATGTATCAACTTGGCAACATTAATTGTAGGGAACTATAATTGTAATGTTTACCTGTAGTGGAGTAAAAAGTGGACGAAAAAAAGCACCTTGGCAATTGGTGAGGCCCAAAACCACAAATTTGGTATGTGAGCAATGGCAACAGGTGTTCCCCCATGCACTTAGTAGGGTATTGCTGCTCGTTTATTCCCAGGAGCGTTAGCCTGCGCCATTCTAAGACAGAGAGCATGGAACACCCTCTCACCAGATAGGGTCCCGTTGCGAGCTGGCAGCTCACCAATAAACCCTCATGTACTACCTAAAAGAGTCAAGTCGGCTGGGGTGAGAGCCTCACTCTTAAAGAACAAAATCAAAAGCAATTAAGCCAAGCAAATCGTGGATTCTCTAAACCAATTACTTGTGAAATATTAAAATATATATTTATATATATATATATTGTCTAGAAATGTCTAATTAGCATCGGCTTGGTACACTTTTTCTCTGCAGTGATGACAGACTGACGCGTCGCATTCCAAACCTGTTTCAACGCAGGCTTACATTTGACGACGATTACTATGTTGAGTTCGGCAAACAGTCGCTGGACCGAGTGCTGGGAACGCGGCACGAGACGGCTCACATCTATGACGCGACCACGGGGGCCCTGCTCTCGTCGCTGCGCGACCCTGACCTGTCGAATCACTACACTCGCAACCGGGCCACCTTCAACCCGACCGACGAGCTTGTGCTCTCGGACGGCGTTCTCTGGGACGTGCGCGCAGTGTCGCCCCTGCACAAGTTTGACAAGTTCAACCCGCACGTCAACGGTGTCTTCCATCCCAACGGGCTCGAGGTGTGTTAACTACACGTTCCATTAGGGTAGCGACTACTGTAATTACCCTGGCAGTGAACCCACTCACACAATGAACCCACCCTGGTTCCTAAAGACAAATCTATTTTTGGGATGTATCTGATGATTTTATTTCGGTGTGATAGCCTGTGTCGTTGAAAATCTAAAACAACATTATATTGCACCATTATATCGCAAAGTAATGACGCAATAAAAGTCAAAACATAGTTTAACAACAATGCTAAACACTTGCAAGCAGTGCTAGCACGAACGACATCGATTGAAATTTAAACGTCACGCCTTTTGCGAAAGATCATCATCTGTAGAACGCAGAGAAAACCTTTTTGCTTATACAGTAGAATCTCAATCATACGATTACAGTTGATGTGAATCGCACGATGATACCATCATATAATGTTACTTCGGATGGACTACACTATATAATATATGCCACGATTCAGTGTGATAGGAACGCGCGATTGACCGTTGCACTCAAGCGGCACAACTTTCTGTTGGTCGAGCATGTGCTGGAGCATGAGAAACGAGTGGCTGCACGACACTTCAGTGTCGATGAGTGGTTCAATTTCAGCTGCGCTGCAATGTTTGTGATTATGTTGGTGTAATACCATGGAAACGCTTGTGCTACATGACATACACTGCATCTTGTCCTATTTTGCTATTCCCTGGTGCTTCCCACTCTAGGTGATCTCAAACTCCGAGGTGTGGGATTTGAGGACTTTCCGGCTTTTGCACACGGTCCCAGCACTGGACCAGTGTCAGGTGACCTTCAACGGTGCGGGAGATGTCTTGTACGGCGCTGTGCTCACTGAGGATGATGATGACTCGGCGCGGCTCCTCAGCTCTTCATTCCGAACCTTTCATGCGTCGGACTACTCCTCTATCGGTGAGTCTACTTGGAATGGCTTGAATAAAGTGATGTGTGATCAAAGTTAATCCAATGTCCTCATTTATCATTTCCTGTAACCAGATTATAGTTTTTTTTTATTTATGTACTTTCATATCTACTGTCTTCAGTTTGTGTCATATCAGCATAATTTTGACTTGGAACACTGACCACACAGAGCCAGCAATACCGTATTTACTCGAATATAACACGACCACGATTGTAACGCGAGGGGTGACTTTTCAGTGCCGAAAAAAAAAAAAAAAACACGAATGTAACGCGAGTAAATCGGGGGGAAAAAGAAGCACCTTTATTTGCTGCACATAGTAGTGGCGAAGACATCCCAGTTTCTAAATATAAAGTGAGTTTTGTTCATTCGTCGCTTTCATCGCCGGTGGTCGAGCCCTCTTTGTCACTTTCTTCCTCCCAGATGAGGTCATCCTCCGTGCCATCCATATAGTTCGATATACAGTACTTTTTAAACGCGCAAACTATCATGTCGTGCGGCAGCCCGTACCAAGCGGTGGACACCCACTCGGCAATCTTCGCGGCGCTAGGTCGCTTTATCCTACCCGTAGGTGTCAAAGCCCAATCTTCTCGCATCTATTCTCCGTACAGCTGCCGCATTCTATCCTTAAATGGTTTGTTCAGGCAGACGTCTAAGGGCTGCAGCACGGACGTCATATCTCCGGGAATAACAGCGAGCTGCGTCTGAGTTTCCCGCATCAGCTTCTTCACTTCGGGCGTCAGGTGACCGCGAAATGAGTCGAGAACTAGGATGGAGGCGGGGTGGAGGAGCGCACCTGGCTGTAGGCACCACACAGTCTTGACCCAGTCAATCATAAGTGGAGTGTCCATCCAACCTTTTTCTTGGCAGCGAACAATCACATCCCTTGGGAACAGCTCCTTCGGGATGGTTTTGCGCCGGAAAATGATGTATGGCGGTAACTTGCGCCCATCCACCAAGCAGGCTAGCATCACGGTTGGCCGCGTCTTCTCGTTGCCTGTTGTCCTTATGCGAACTTGGGGGGCACCTGTTTTGCTGACAGTCCTTGACATAGGCATGTCCAAGAAAACGGGAGTTTGGTCCGCATTGCCAATGTGCCCCAACGGCATTTGCGACGAGTGGCGCAGGTCGAGCACATAGCGCTAAAACTCCACAAGCTTCGCTTCGAAATCTGCTGGTAGCTTCTGCCTTATCGACGTTGTTCGCCGGAGGGAAAATTCATTTCTTCGCATGAACTTTTGTGCCCATCTACGTGAAGCCTTAAAGTTATCCCACGGGATCCCCATCTCTCGAGCTACGTCTCGGGCTTTCCACTGAATCAGCTCAACGTTGACCCCCAATAGGTGATTTCGCTGCTCAATCACGAACTCCGCCACTTTTTTTCGAGTTCTGTGTGACGGCCACAACGAGGTCCACGGAAGCCTTTTCGGCCGGGCTCACTCTTGAAGAGCGCTTCTTGCTAGAGCCTCCACCCACGGATAGTAGATTCCGCCACATCTAGTCGTCGAGCCGCGGCTGAGTTCCCGATTTCCTCAGCCATCAGTATTGCACTTGTCTTAAAGCGGGCATCGTACTGAACTCGTCGCGCTGCCATTTGCTCGAGCCGAAGTCGCGGAAGCACAAAGGAAATGAACCGCCCGCAAAACACGTCGCGAACGATAGGATTGGATTGGATTCGATGTTGCCAGCGTGCATATGTTGCCAGCACAAGGTTGAAAGATCGCTAGGTTTGTTGTAGCCATTTTAAGGAACCAGTGGGGCAGCACCGCCAAGGTACGATTTGAGGTGCTTCGATTATAACGCGGACCCCCAAATCACTTCAGAGAGATTTTGAAAAAAAACTCGTGTTACATTCGAGTAAATACGGTACATTTCATAAGTCTGATTTATAGTGACATGATGTGGTTATCTTTAGTAATTGTCCATACCAGTCATTATGCCAAAATATTAGCTGTAGCATTTTGGGAGCACTGTGTTATACTGATTATAATAACGTAAAGCCTTACATACCTGCTTAACATATTGCATAACAGCACACTGTTTCATAGCAGCCATCTGGTAAAATTATGCATTTTGCAGTGTGTGCCAACATCCCCAAAAGAGAAACGAGTGCAACATCACAACAAAGATTGCCTGAAATATCCATTACTAAGTACTTTTTTTTCGCTAATATGCTGATTATATGTCATAAATTGTCACAGAATTTTCTAAAAGCCTGGCAAGGTCACTGAAACTGATTGACAGTCATCTGTACAACAGTCACGAAACCTCTGATCAAAGCTTATACAGTTGCTCCTTTGGCTGCAACCATGGTAAACAGCTAAGAAGAAGAAAAAAAATGTTGCGCATAACTGTTGCTTCTACACTGTGTCTCGATTCTCAAACACGATATTGCTCACACCGACAAATTTGGGCTTGCTTGTCTTGCCCGTTATCTTGGCTAGGCTTGAAGGCATTGTGGTTGGGCCAGATGCACTATCGGCAGAGGCCGACTCGGAGAGCACAGTCCAGTCCAAGAATATGCTTCGAATCATCTGTGAAAACCAAGAAAAGTTGGGGAATGCAGAAAAATTTAATCGGTAGGCTTTCTGACATTTTGTCGTTAGGTAAGAGGCTGAGCTACCTTTTTTGTAAAAAATAGTTGTATCGGTATGCATTGACAAATAAGCACAGGATGAGTCAATACTGCTCAAATGGTACAGAAATATATACGGCTCAGTTGCACTTATTCGGCGACCCATTGCAACTACATTTTCTCTGTTAGTACATTTGAAGCAGATACATGATAACAATGTTACACGTAGTATCAAGCGGTCTGGTGCAACAACAAAAATAGCGCTGTATTATTGGCGAGACGGCTTGTGGGGTGATACCAAGAAGGATTTTTCGGGGGATATCTCTGCGGCATTTTCCTGCCAGCATGCCATTGACTTTTAAAAGCACTGGGCCCGTACGCCTTCCTGACGGTCGCAGCTGTCGCAAGGTCGAACATCAATGGCACTGGTTTTGGGTGAGGTGTCAATGGAATGTACGCCATGGGACCTCAATCGCTGGTGCAACAGAGCCTATTTGAGTGATGGTGACAGCATTTTATCTTAGAACAGTATCTTCAACAGGCAAGTGCACCAATATGATAATTAGAAGCTAGGAAAGCAGTGGTACTGCGTAACTAAGTGATAGATATATATGCTGCATATTTGCAATTGATTAGTTGAAGCACGCAAAATTGCCGGGCACCTACTGGCTTGGCACTAATTCCTAGCACCACATATCTTTCAAGATATGAGAAATAGCCATCAAACTTGTAATAAATACACTTCAACCTCAATATAATAAACTGGGTTTTAACGAAATATCAATTATAACAAAGTAAACGATAAGTGGTCTGGCAGTAGATATGATGCTAAAAATAAATCTTATAACGAGTTTCTCGATATAACAAACCTATATTTGTGCTCAATGCAACTTTCTTATTATAATGAGGTTTGAGTGTATGATCTGTTGTCCTTGTTACTACATTATATGTGCGGGTTTCTCTGTACAGTTCGACTAGTTCTCAGAATCGTTTGGCATTGCTCGATTTTTTTCTTAGTAAACATGCTGTAAATTAAATTTAATTAGGACCATATTGCACCTAGTTCACTTACACAAATTAATGTTGCATGTTAGTTACTTTTTTTTAGTAGTAGTAATCAAGCTCACAGAAATTGGAGTGTGCACTTTACCACAGAGGATTTTTTTCAAATAATAATCTGTCACCTAAGCAAGTGCTCCGGTACATGCATAGCTCCATGTGTCAATGGTGAATTATGTAAGACAATCTTGCATGACAGTTGGTACAGGCTGAAGCTGAAAAAAGAACCTTTTTTTTTTTTTTTCTTCTTAGAGGGTCTTGCAGTTGTGGGTAGTACTTTGTTTTGTTTTTGTTTTTTGAAGCATAGTGTACTTGCATCGTAAATGATTCTTGCCTCTAATATTTTGGTGCAGCATAAATTATCAAGGGTCACTGCAGTGCAGAACTTTATGTGAACACATGCTTCCACTTTGTGTTCTAGTTTTTCATTGCATATGACACATGTGAAAATACAGTAGCATGTCTTCTTTAAAATAAGCTGAGTGAATGTACTGCTGTTGTGTAAAATGCAACGGATGATTGTAGCTCTCTGGTTTTACATTTTGCAAGCTTCTTAATTTTCTTTTTGTCACTGATAGCCTTGAGGTTTCACTAAAACTTTTTTCTCTCTCACCCTTCAGCAACGATCGACATCAAGCGCAACATCTATGACCTCAAGCCCGATGAGTCCGACTATTTCCTAGCTGTTGTGGAGGTAAGAGTTGTGAATGCCTTGAAGTAATGCTAAAAGGGGTGTGCCAACTTCACTGGGAGCCTGATTGCAGAACTGTCAAAGAAGGAAATGATAAATTTCAGCTTTATTAGTTACCCTTATTACCTTTTATAACACCAAACAAAACTACTCTTCACCTTAGGGGGAGTCGTGGCAGGCTGGCAAAATTTATGAAGGACGAAGAAAAAAAAAAAAAAAAAGGGACGGCGACTGTCTTTTTGAGCTTCCTTGCCAGCTCACTATTACTTCGTGTATCTTGAGGGCAATTAATTTCTTATTGGTGGAGAAGGAACACAGTGGCATTGTTGGATTATACTTCGTTAGACAATTTGCTGACATCATTTTGTAGAAGTGGGGATCTTTGGAGACTTAGGGTACTTCTACCAGTTCATACTCGCTTGACCGCGGTGGTCTAGTGGCTAAGGTACTCGGCTGCTGACCCGCAGGTCGCGGGATCGAATCCTGACTGCGGTGGCTGAATTTCTGATGGAGGCGGAAACGTTGTAGAACGTGTGCTCAGATTTGGGTGCACGTTAAAAAACCCCAGGTGGTTGAAATTTCCGAGCCCTCCACTACGGCATCTCTCATAATCATATGGTGGTTTTGGGACGTTAAACCCCACATATGAATCATTAACAGTTCATATTCTTACCAGCTGTATTGGTACCTTTGCCCGTGTTTAATGCCCTAACCTAGTTGGGAGGGGACGAAAAGAGCCCTTTAATTATACGTGGAACGATCAGTCCCGTCAGTTAGGTCTGAACAAGAAAATTAGTGGCAAATTTTTTCTGTGGGGGAACTGTTGGAGTGTGCAAGGAATTTAATTACCTAGGCATAGGCATGGTTACATGCATTTTCTGGCACCTGCCAACTCTGCCACTTCCGGCTAAAGTGAATTGTTCCAATCCGTAGGAGGTATACTCGCATTTCATCATCCATGGGGGGCGCTAGCGCGGCAGTTGGCATACTTGGGGTCTCACACGTGAGTATTATCGTCTGACCGCAACCAGAGCTCTTGGCAGCATGTGTTATCTCAATATTTTTTTTTTTTTTTCGAAAAAAAAAAAATGGGTTAGTGAGGTGCGGCATGGCCAAACATCAGGCTGCCATATGCTGGATCGTTGACGGACCACAGCTATGGTGGTGCACTCACTAGCGCCACCTGGTAGGGAGTGAACACCTTCTGTAAGACTCAATTCAAATTTTATTCCTGAATACCGACGATAGTGGGCTCTATAAATTTTAGCTGCAATATAGTCAGGTATTTTGGTCACAAGAGTACACTGGAAAAAAATTGTTGGAGTAGGTCTGACAATATTGTCAGCAGCAAAAAAACCATATTTATCAGTTTTACTTTTGTGTTAGAAAAAATGGGGCCAAATATGATGTGAGAAAACTGGAATTGAGACTGTGAAGCAGAAGTGAAACAGCTTCTGTCATACTGGCAGATATACTGGATTTTTTCACGCATAACTTAAACATTTTTGGGATAGAGTTAAACCTGCTCATAATGAAGCTTCATATAACGAATTCCTTTATATAACAAAGTTTTTCGATTCTCTGCTGTTGCTCTATAGAAGCACATGTATTTGCAACCTCTATGTAACAAAGTAACAGTGGGAGACAACCTTGATATAACGAATTTTCCCCAAGGACAATCTAGAAATTTCGCTCTGCATTTTGGTACGAGCGTGCATCATCTGCGGCTGCCCCACCCCTGAAGAAGCGCTAAGCGGCGGAGGTGGTGCGCATTGTGCCCCAGGTGAGAAAGCGCGAGGCGGGCAGGTGGGCCTTCACCCCACAAGCCGGCGTTGCTGCCATTCTCGCCGCCGCGGGCGCATGTGCGGGTGTGCCCCCTTTCATCACTCCAAGCAAACAAACAAAGAAACCTACTTTCGTACTTTGGCTGTGCAACGCTTTTACTTAGCGTCACATAGTGGAGCCACGCTGGCATATGGAGGGTGCTTTATCAAATAGTTTTCTGCGGTATCCGTGTCTGTGTCGTTCGCTCTTCGTTTTCCACACTGTGTGTGCGTGCATAGTTTCACTGTGCGCGCAGTGGCGTGGCCTTCGCCGACGTTCAGCTTTGCGTTTTTTTATTATGATGGAAATTATATAGACAGTCTCGGCTGGTTTTTTGCCGTCGCCGCCGCCATTCATATATGTTTACATATCTATATAAATCAAAGCTCAAAAAAGAAAAAAAAAGCTGCCTGTGCTTGGCGGCCCAGCTCGTCATGATGCGCCCACGCGCGCTTATTTTCCCACGCGTACTTTGCCCCGTGAGGGTGGGGGTGGATATTTGTACATGTGCGCTTATCCTTCAGTGGGGGGAATCGCGAGCCTTTGACTTTGACCGGAACGATTGCGTGTAGTTGCTGGGCGCACAAAGATCATTTCACTCGCTGGACAGGCTCCGTTTGTGAAAATAGTGTGCTTTTCAAACACAGTAAAGTAACAACTGGGGCACTTGGTAGTTCGCACTCATACTGTACCTGTGATTACGCCTTGTGCCTTGTTTTTGTTTAAACAGTGGGTCAAGTGTCAAGCAGCAAACGTTAGTTCGCTCTCGTCCTCGTGCGTCATTTGTGCGTGAGCAGCGTACTGCACGTTTTGATCTGCTTGCCGTTCTCAGCGTTACATTCCAAGCTGTTGCTATAGCATTCAATGCTTCGCCCTTGCGGGGAAATTGTGGCTTTTCTTCATTTCGGACAACCGTATCGTCACCACCAAGGGGATGTGAGACTAGGCGCTAATGGAAACTCTCCTAGACCATGGTGAGGACGGAGCTCCACTTGTCATGCCCTTCTGTTTTGCGCCGCAAGTTTGCAGGCTGGTAGCTTTCGCGATTAGCGGATTTGTTCTGGCAACATGACATGCGCGTTGAATGCAATGCAATGAACGCGATATCAAAAAAACTGCAATCTTATAAGAAGTAAGGCTGGCAGCCAATATCGCGGAACTCCTGCAAAACGCTGGTGCGAGCAAATGTGAACTCCTGCAAAATGCTGAGAACTGCTGCAAAATGCGAACTCCTGCAAAATGGTGCAAACTCCTGCAAAATGCGATGCTGCAAAACGCCGGTGCGAGCGCCGGCGATGGCGACCTCCCTTAAGGGGAGATGCGGGTCGAAAAATCGCGTTTTTTGCGAAAATTTCCACTTTTGAGATATTGCTGCTAAAATCACTTTTGATCATTCAACTATCATTTCCCCAAAGGTCATAGCTGAATTCAAATGAGAAAGTGGTAAAAAATCGATCTGCGCTAGTGAAGGTAGCTGCCGAAGTCGCGAATTCACGCATCCGACGGCTATTTTTGAAAATCCGCCACTCGGCAACACGATGACGTCCGCCATCGGGGTTTGTTCGGTGGTGTAGATCAAGGCTCCTTCTAGTGTACAGGCGTCCCCCTAGTTTCGTATTTTAGTGAGGAATTTCACAAAACAGTCGTTTCCAAGTCGGTTTGCAGCCAAGCTGCAGCCGCTTCGCGCATCTCTACCGGTCACATGGTACGCTACCGAGGCCGCCATTGGCTACATCTGATCGGCCTCGCTCGCTGAGCGCTTGCGACGATCGGCACTTGCCGTGCGTTTCTATGTTTTTCCGAGTTCACCATGGATAACTCGAAGAAGCGAGACTTCCGAGCACGAAAGTTTGCAAGCAAGAACAAGTACCAAGGGCGTCGACGTAAACCGAAGCGCAAAGCAGCGGTAGAAGAATGCGAGCCGCGGGCCACTAGGCCTAATCAAGGCAGCGGGGATACGGCGGCTTGCGGGAACTTTGACGAAATCGACGCCGCGATCAAGTTCATCAGCGCATCAGAAAAAAAGATTGAACAGTTCGAAAGCGAAAGAACGAAAAGTGTTTGTGGCTCTGTGAGCGGAGTATTTTGTGACATCGGCGCACTGACATCGATGGTAAGCCGTGCTGTTTGTCCAACATGCCACACCGCTGGACTCGTCGTTCGCGACACCGCAAGTAAACGTAAGGGCCTCTCTTCGTTCCTCGAGCTGCACTGTGATAACAGTGAGTGTCCTGAGTCAGTGGTTTCTGCCGCGCATAGTTCGCGGCGTGTTCTGCCGGAAAGACAGCCCACCGATGCCGGTGATGACTGGAGCTACCGAAGCGGCAGCTCGCGCGACAGCTTCGCTGTCAATGTGAAGGTAGTTGTGGCTGCGCGTGCAATAGGCATTGGGCATGAACAGCTGTCGCGTTTTTGCGCTATTCTTGGACTGCCAATACCTATGCATCATAAGACTTTTATTGCAATCGGCAAAAAAGTTCATGCTGCAGCTACCAAAGCTGTGCAAGAAAACCTGGCGAAAGCGCGGATGATAACTAAAGAGAAAGTGGATGGGGCTGATGTTGCTGTCATGTATGATGGCACATGGCAAAAAAGAGGGCACAAGAGCCACAATGGCATCGGCACTGCTGTGTCTGTGGACACTGGTTTGTGCCTAGATTTTGAAGTGCTATCGAATTACTGCCTTGCCTGTAGCCGGCACCAGGACTTGGGTGATGAGGAAGAAATATGGCAAGCATTCCACACACCTGTCTGCGAAAAAAATACAGAGTGCTCCTCTCATGCCATGGAGACTGAGGCAGCTTTGCGCATATGGGGCAGGACATCCTCATACACAACACCATTGCGCTTCACCAAGTTCCTCAGTGATGGGGACAGCAAAGCTTATACCGCTGTCGCTGAGGCCAAGGTATATGGTGAAGCTGTTGTGGACAAGAAGGAGTGCACAAACCATGTGGCCAAGCGTCTAGGCACTGCACTTCGGAAACTGCCAACAAGACTTCCACGAGGGGAAAAGCTGACAGATGGCACAATTCAGAAGCTGCAGAACTATTACCGTATTGCAATCACAAACAACAGAGGTGATATTCTGAAAATGCATCGTGCCATCTGGGCCTCATATTTCCATTCATCATCGAGCAACACAGCAGGCAGCCACCGATACTGTCCAGAAGGGGCGACTTCCTGGTGCAAGCATAGGCGAGCTGAAGCGCTTGGGGAGGCCCCACCCGACCACACACCAATCTTGACCAAGGCTCAAGGATTGGCTGTGCTTCCCATTTACAAGCGGCTCACAGATGAAAAGTTGCTGGTGCGTTGTATCCAAGGGAAGACCCAAAACGCTGCAGAATCTTTGAACAGCAAAATCTGGTTGTTGTGTCCGAAGACTAAGTTTGCCTCCCGGACAACAGTGGAAACTGCAGCTGCTATGGCCGTGTTGTGGTTCAATAAAGGACATTCAAGCTTTGAACACGTGCTAGAGGAGCTTGGTGTAGTCCCACCAGATCAACTGATCACCCTGGGCCGATCCCGCGACCAGAGGAGAATCGAAAGAATGTCTGCGTGTGAAACAGCCGAGGCAAGGGCCCATCGGCGGAACGTGGCAAAGAAAGCGCGCCTTGATGACTCCCTTCTCAAGCGGCGAGAAGGATCCACATATGGAGCAGGACAATTTTAGGTGCTCTAGCTGTGTCCCTTCTATGATATCACCAAGTTTTGTGCAAATCGCACTGTGTAATCATGAGTAAACATATTTACAACTTTCAAATGCATTTTTCTCGATTTCCATTTTGAGGTAATTCTCTCATCTTGTGCACAATCTTTTTTAGGCATAAAATAGTCCTATCTTGATGAAATTTTGCACAGAGCTTAATCAGCCACTCTAGAATACAAGTATCCACTTTAGGTTGCATTATACATCACAGATTTTTTGTTACACAACTTGATACACTGATAGAGAGATGTAAAATATGCATTTAGTACTTTTAATTTTTTTTTTTTAATGTAGCAAATAAATTTTCTGTTTGAGGTACTTTTCTGTATTGTACTGCTCAAGTGCAGCAAAATGAGCCACTTTGCAATTCTGTGTGAAAATTTTTAGTAAGCTTTATTATGTGCACAAAAAACACTATATTTTGATATCAAAGTTGTAGTAACTCCGGAACTACTATAGCTATCAAACAAATAATTGCAGTTATGAAATCAGCACTGCAAGCTTTACTAACACCTAAAATTTCAAGGAGCTGGGTTATGAAATAAAAAAAAACCTTTTTCGAGTAGCATCTCCCCTTAAAATCAAAGTTCATTATTGCTACTCGAGTGAGCCACTCCCCCCCTCTCCGCATTGTTTCATGCTCGTTCATGATGGGTGGCCTACTTTCTGTTTGAGCATTCGACAGAAGTTCTGAGTCATCTTATGCACTTTTCAGGCGATAGGGATAGGCGGATTCATTTGATCTCTGCTTCAGCAGCGCTCGCGCAATTTTATCCGCTCGTGAAAGTTACCATGCGCGAGGGCATGTTATCAATTTGGACTTGTTACGGAACATAGCGGTGACGGCAAAAGCCCGCCAAGCGTGTCCATATAATTTCTCTCGCAATAATAACGCAGATTTTTTGCTGTAAAATATGTGTTTCGGGTTAGCTCTGCCTTCAGCTCTCCGTTTGTTTAATTTGCGCTTTTACTTTCAGAATATTTGTACCGAACCTGCATATAATGAAATCCTCTTTGTAACGAATTTTTCTGGGAATTTATTAGTTTCGTTATATCCAGGTTTAATTGTATTCAGAGCTAAGTTTGGGATGCGGGTTGTACGTGAATTTCAGGGCACAAGCTGGTTTCACATTAGCTGGCTTTACAGTGATATGAGGAAGGCAGCCTCATGACATATGGCGATTTTTTAACTGTTTTATTTTCAGTAGTTTGTTGTCGGACATGCCGGCGACACATTACAAAATACAATAATGAGATGGAGCAGGCAGATAACGCATGCATCCTTCATCGTACTTGGTTACCGTATATTGCCGATTATAGGCAGACTCCAGCTGTAGTCAACTGCCCATTTTGCAACACTTTCGAGTTAAAAAAAAAGAAGGTTTACTCCAAACACAGGCTCATGCTGCAGCCATAGCACACCGTTAAGTCTTTCAGAAGAGGGAGTAATGCAGAGAACAATCATTTATTTGACCGGGAAACATCACTTACGGCCCGTCTTTGCGTGGGAGAAGATTACGGCAGTCACGGTCTTTGACATCGTGCGAGCCACTGCTGCTCGCCGTCAAAGGGGGTGCCGGTGGTACTGGGATGCCGCATATGGAAAACGCCGCGCGGAGCATGTCGGTTGGCAGTCCATAACAGGCATCATTAACAGAAATGAATGCTGTGCCTTCAGGTCACTCACGTAGCAAAAAAACGAGTGTTGTTTTTCTTGCTACGCTTTGGACAACATTTGGCATACAGTTGAGCGTCGCCTTGGGCTGAGGCCGTTCCATTTCATAGAGTTCGTGACCCATTTCTTTGATGCTTTGAACTTGGTTGGCGGGATGCACGTATCCTTGACGGTACGTGCATTTGCTTCAATATCATCATAGCAAACACTCGGGGTTTATCTGGTCGCGAAACCCATCTCAAACCACCTCCTCAATAGCAGGGTATCATCCAGACTTCGGTCCGCGAAAGGAGCGGCATGTCACAGCGCAGCAAAGATCTTGGTCCGTTGTTTATTTTCTCCGTTCCTCATGCACTTTTCTGACACATCGAGCTTCCGCCCTGCTTCAGCATTACTTTTCTACTCTGTGTAGAGGATCATTTGCGGCTTGAAAGTAGCGCTGCACTGTTGCCGGCATTGCGGTGGCATCTTGGCGTCCATTAAGGAGCTTCGCAAATCGCGCACACCACTGTTCGCAAGTGAGGTGAAATGCAGAAATGGCGAACAGGGGTGAGCGCAGAAAGACGTGAAGACGCTTGTGGGCACACGCACGTGACTAGTCATGTGGTTTATTGTACCCCACGCAGTGTTGCTAGCCCACATGGCACTGCTGGCTTTTCCATGGAACGCCCATGGTGCTCTGCAGGGAATCGCAGCAAGCGCTGTTAGGGCACGCTTTCCACTAGAGCAAGAAATGCATCCAGTCTTCCGCGAACGATAAACGTCAAATTTTTTTGTTAGTAGGAGATGCATGAGAAGTTTTTTGTGACAGATGAACTAATGCCGCATTGTTAGGGAGTGAATGTCGCGTTTCTTCTTGAGGCCGAAGACGGCAATTGTTTGTCCGACCCCTCAGAAAAGTTGACTTCACCATTCTGCGTATAGGTCAGTTCCGATTATAGATTGATCCCCGAACTTTGGAACGCCATTTTATGAAAAAAATTTCGACCTATAATCTGCAGTATAAAGTTATATAGATGAACTTTGCTGGGGAATTAGTAGTTGGCACGATACTGACTTTTTAAAGCACTGAAATCGTACGCTGTCGTGGCGGTTGCAGTTGTCGCAAGGTCAGACATTGATGGCACTGGTTTTGGGTGGGGTGTCATTGGAACGTACGCCATGGGACTCAATGACCGGTGCAACAGAGCCATGTTGTTAATAGTCGCACTGCTGTATCTGCTGCTTGGGTGGGGTTTGCCTTTTGCTACATCTCCTAAGGCAATTGCAAATTGTCTTGAATGAAGCCTGAGTGAAAGAATTGAATAATGTGGAAAACACCAGGTAGGTTGCTTCGCCCTTTAAGGCTTTTCTGAATGCCAATCTTTGCAGAACCAGGGCACCAGGGATGCCACAATGGGCAACTCGGAGAGCATCTGCCGACTCTACGAGGTCGGTCGACAGCGAGAGGAGGACGATGATGAGGTGAGCAACCTCCCTCATCGTGTTGTGTTGACATGGTCGATTCTGGTGAAGGCTGGAGATAATGTAGGAAAATGTGGCATCAGCATTTGCATGATTACCAGTGTGGCTGTACGTGCGTGGCAGCGAGCTTTGCTCGTATTCATATAAACAGTGTTCTTGTAAATTATCGTATTGCTGAGCGAACAGCAGCATGGCCAGTTTGTTGGGCTGTTCAGTTATGAGACATCTTGCACAATTCATTCAAGTAGTAGTATTTGTTGCGTCTCGAGACAAGGAGGTTGAGCATTGTTTTCGGGAAAACAAGTAGAGCGCAACACTGTTGGTGCATATTGCCCACGAGACATAAGTATGTATGTTCCAACGGCCATGCACAGATGCGTCTCGTGACGTGCGATTGCTGGTACCAACTAAGAAAGGCTACACCCGCAGTAAGTGATGCGTCGAAATTCTGCCTATCTGTAAAACCGTAGAAAGAGTGCAAAGTACTCGTCCAAGAGCATTGTGCAACTTTTGTAGTAGAATAGTCAATGGTATCACAGCAAACATCAACAGTAGATGTGCTGTGATAAGATATGTGGCCCTGATAATACAAAGAAAGGAAAAAGCTAGAACATTAGCGCATGCATTGATTTCATCCATAGGGACTCATGGCATCCAGTCATGATGTCATTGATACGCTAGCGAATAAATCTTTGTGTTCTTTTGTGGAAAATAGACTTGCACAAACAGTGAATTTTAGGTTCGAAGAAAATTTCAAGCGAATAGTGATTTTGGTTGAGAAATTTTGAATCAAATTTGAGCAGTATACATTGCATACAATTAAGAAAAATGAACATGTTTGTCATCACCCTACTAACTTGCATGGTACTTTTAAACATTGAAATAAGGCCTGTGCAAATGCCACTCCTTCTAGTTTAAAGGAGCACTGACATCAAATTTACTCATGCCAAGATTTTTGCGTCAGAGAGTAGCTATAGATCCCATAGCAGCGATTCACGACCTAAAACGCAATTGAGGGTCGAATAACTATCACTTTTACTGATTTATATCACTGGTACTTAGCCCGCCATTTTTAGCGCTGGGAGCACCAGCAGTGGCGCTACCTCACGGTCACCTCCAAATCATGCCACAGCAGACCACTTCTCCACAGAAAAGAGTGACGTCAGGCTCAGCTGCTCCGCAAACGTTTCGTCTGCTAGGCCGACACATTCAGTCATGCCTTGTCACTTGCATTGCTGTCGTCGCCATACAAAGTGTCCACTCGGGTTCAATACGATAGTCTGGAGCTTGGCATCCCCGCGATTCGTGATGTCGTGAACTATATTTGCTTCCATCGACCTTTTGCAGAGCAGTGATTCCGAAATGGACGCCGTTCCAAGCAGCACTTCAGAGGTGCCCGAGGATGCACGCTTCAGCCATGTTCATTTGCGTGTCTCAGTTAGCTATATTAGTGTGTTTTGGCGTGCAAAGCATTCAGGTATACGCAGAGGAGTCAATGCAATATAGCTATCACGAATGAGCATCAGCGGAGAAATAGAATACATTTCCTGCTTGCCAGGTTCTTTTTTGCGCCTCCAGATGGCCCCGCCTATCCAACCTTTCACGATTAAAATTTACTATCCTAACTAGTATAACAAGCATTTAAAATTTAAAAAATTATGAATTTATGTGAGGGGAAGATGTTAATTTAACCTTGAAGTGGGGATTCGTGGCAGTGCATATTTTTTCTGGATAAATGTTTCCACGGCTTAGCAATCCTGCACTGCAGTGAAACAACCTTTACAGTGGGTTACATGTTGAATAATATACGCCTATTTATTCATTTCAATCAAAATTTTCAACCATTTGAATTTGAATGACAGAGAATTCAAATACAGTAATCTTAGTCTGAATGTTCGAACCGTTTGAATATTCGCACAAGCTTGGTGAAAAACCATGACCAGTTATTGTAAGCACTGTAGTATTCAGTGTGTAAATGGTTGTGCTGGCTAAGCTAGGTAAATTAAGCCAACTTATTCCATAGCTTTTTAGCACTAAACATGAAAAAAAAATCCAGAGTTAAATGTGCGAGAGACTTAAAACATAACAGTCATCTTTTGTCTAGATTTGCAGGCAGTATGTCTATAACAGATGTATTAACACTATAAATAATTACATGTTGACCGTAGTCCCCACCATTTGATGGTTTTTTACATCCATATTTAGTTACTTCTTCACACTAAGATGTTCATCATCCTAGACGATTTTTATTATGCGCTGAAGTAAACCTGTCATGAATGTGACATTTGGCTTCCCTTTGCAAATTACCCGTTAAGGCTGGTAGGTCGATTTTTATGTTGAAACTTTCTGAAGTAGGACAAACACTTGTGAACTTACCTGCACTGAAAATGTTCTGTTGTGAACCTTAGAATTGCTTGGCTGACAAGCACTACATTCTCAACAAACAATAAAAGAATTGCCTTGCAGACTTTAGATTCACAATGCAACGTATAGGAGCTCAAAATTTGTATTCAGCTGTAGAAAGACATTACACTTTCGACAGTGGTTAAGTGATAAGTGTGTCCAGATCTTTGCGTAGCGAACCTCGCAGGCAAGTTATGGCCAAAGGCATTTTTGAGGCATCTCTTTGCGTAATTGTGCTTTGCCGTGCCGCATTTGCTGTAGCAAAAAGTGTGCTAGTTTTTAGATGCAAATTAAGTATGTGCAACCACAGTCACTGCTCGATATACAATCACCGACGGATTTTTCGGACTCCAAAAATTTGAACTTGTTTGATATTTCAGACTTCACAAATGCACTGTCAAGGTTCTCATTGCACTAATGCATTTTGGCGGCTGATTTTTCGGATGAATTTACACTCTAATGTTCGATTTTTCGGACTAAATTGTTTGTTTCGAGCTCTGCGGCTTGATTTTGAAAACTGCCATGTTGGATTTTTTGGCTTTGTCAACTTTGGCTTGCAATGACTAGTTCTGTGTCTTAAAAGATTGGAAGTGCGCACAATCTTCCAGTTTCACAGGCCATGTTTGATCTTCCTTGGCTTGCAGAATGGCAAAACTTTTCTTTTTCAGTCAGCCTTATCATCATTATTAATACGCTGGTACGTTTTTATTTTTGGGTGTTTGTTTTTCTGGTCGTCAATGCACACATGGTCGTGTTAGTTGTGTGTCACAAATGTTCGAGCCGTCGTGCATGTCACATGCTCACTTCTGTTCCCGATTGCTCAGTAGCACTCCGTGGTCATGGCGCTCGGTTACTGATCTGGAATACGCTGGCTCGATTGGGCCCCGATGGTAGCGTTTCGATGGTTGCGAAAATGCTGGAGGTTCATGTACTGCGTGGTGTCCATGCAGATAAAAGAAACCGAGACCGTGTTGTTAAATCCCACCCAACAGGCGAGACATTGCACGCATCTTTTTGCGATCGGCACCAAGTTTTGTTTGCTTGGTTCTATGGAGCTACCAACTTTGCTGCCCGCAACAATCGCCGGCAATGATCGCCAACGCGCTTACCAGCGATGTTACCTTAGCCCAAGTAGAACCAGATTTGCTCATCTCCAAACACAGCATGTAGCATGGCATTATTGGGAATCCTTTTTAGACTTTTTTTAATCCAAATAAACTTCATTTTCATGGCTTGGCCACTTTTTCAGACTATTCCATTATTTGATCGGACTATTTTGCAGTCCTCGCCAGGTCCGAAAAATTGGTCAGCGAGTGTGTGTGTGTGTGTGTGTGTGTGTGTGTGTGTGTGCGCGTGCGTGCGTGCGTGTGCGCGTGGGTGCGTGCACGTGCTTTCTAGAGACCATCAAATAGTCCTAGAAATCTGGCAGTCGGGAAAAACAAATAGACTTTTTTTTACATTCCTGTGATTATACAGTCAAACCCGTTTATAAGAGACACCAGTGTGACTTTAGTAAAGTATGGGCAGATAAGAAAATGCATACAAGGTACCATAAGAGACATCTCATCTAAAAGACAACAATTGCTGCCCGAAGCATGCCTCTTATAAAGAGGTTTAACTGTGTTGCCACAGACAAGTCTGAAATTGCTCTGAAAGCCTGCTACTACACCTTATGAGGTGTCTTAGTGCTTGTACAATAAACTGGCGTGAATATGTGGAGTAACTCCCAAACCTGCCTTAACTATGCACAGGTTGCAAATTTGCATCTCCTGTCAGCACCACCACTGTCAGCTAGACGTGGTGTGGAAAAATTATGACTTTCTTTCGCAATTGTGCCATAGTGCTTGTGATACTAAAGAGCATCATGAAACGACGCAGAACACAGCAGCCATGGCATGCGAGCTGTCTTTTGGGATCTGCTAGAGTCTAAAAAATGCGGCACATGACAGCACTTGTTCAAAGCGATGCGCTAACACGGTTTGGCAGCGGGGTTGGCTTCAGTTTGTGCCATTTAATATTTGCAGTCAGAGCACAAAAGTTCCAAAAATACATACAGAAACATAGGTACATGCATTACCTTTGCACGCGCATTTGTGTGGTTATATCCCACATTCAAAATCAAAAATGTTCGGTGGAAATGAGTGGCACTAGGACTTGTGCAGAAAACAAGCATATGCGAGAAATAGTCACATAGTTAACGCAAAAAATTTCCTAAAGTACTCGCTTATATAAACAAATCTATACTTCGTGCTTAAAGAAGCTCGAGTACTGATAAGAATGAGGATACGCTAAATAATTGTGTACTCACCGAGGAGAATGAAGTGAACAAACTACCGCAGTATCAGTCGCCTTCTTTCTAATGCGTCAGTTTCTGATTTGCGCCGTTCTTCGTTGTGCTTCGCCTGCATCTTTGGGGAAGTGATAGAACAATACGTTGCCATCTTTCCACTACGATGCCACGCATTCTCACCACCTAGCGGACGCTTTTCAAGGCGTGGCCGCCAGGTGGTGAGCGCTTGGTTGGGAAGTGCATTATATATGCAAATTTTGGAGTACAAGTTGGCTTTACGGCACTGCTTTATAGTAACACAAGAAAAGTGATATCATGTGTGGTTTTATTGTTTATTTTTTTATTGCTCATTGTTGGAGGTGCAGGTTATACACTAGAAAATACATTGCTGTGATGGAGTGGTCAGATAATGTATACTTATAGGCATGTCTTCATGTGGCATTTTTTAGTCTGCATGCTCTTGACCTTTTAAAGTACTGGGATCGTACGCTGTCATGGCGGTCACAGCTGTCGCAAGGTCGGACATTGAAGGCACTCGTTTTGGGTGAGCTGCCAATGGAACGTACACCGTGGTGTCTCAATCACTGGTGCAACAAAGCCATTTTGGTTATTAACACAGAATTTTTTTGCCCTAGAGCAATAGCAGATGCGGGAACGTGTTCCCCTGTCTCTGTTTTTTACCTTCCCAAGAATGCGAGTGATAAGTAAGGAATAAATCGGCTGAACCAATGGATAAACTATCATGCTGTTCGGTACCATTCAGTCCTGATCAAATCCGCATCCATTCTACTTTACAGTTGCCTGGGGAATACGTATCGCGGTGGCTTACCAATTACGGCGTTGGTTCAAGTTTAGTTCTTGGCCATGGTGGCTACACTTCAAATGTTTAATATGAGGAAAACGCCCCTGTACTTAAGATTTAGGGGCTGAATTTAGGGGCTTAAGATTTGGAGGCTTAAAGATTCAGGGGCTTGAACTGGTTTGAATCTGGGCAGCTTTTTTTCTTTGAGTGTTCATATATATAGATACGTATACATATACGGTGAAGGATGGCGGCGGTGGCGACGGCAAAAAAATAGCCTGGGATGTCCATATAAATGCTATCGTAATAAAAAGGGGCCAGACACGTTTTGGTGTTCCTGTCAAAAGAATCTAGTAGTAAGCAAAACTTTGACCTACGCTTTTGCGGCAGCCAGCTGCACGGTCCTGTCCGTTCATGTGTGTACCAGGAAGACACACGCGAGTTGTTTTGACCAAAATAGATTCTGCTAGTTGTGTTGATCCTTTGAGACTCTCACAGTGAAAAACTCTACCTTCGTGTATTCGACTACTACTAGCCACTATAAGACTGTAACGCTGATGTTGGCGCTTGCGATTGAGACCTTCTCCCACCCCCCTTTGTTTTTTGCGATGTTTTTTGTTTGTTTGTTCTTGTTTTTTTGTGCCCCCCTCCCCCCGTTGCAGGAAATCTCCCGGATTCAGAATACTTGAACTTGGCAGGTATGCAGTATTACGCAGCCCCAAACCCAACATCAGAACCTCTATCCCCCCCCCCCCCCCCCCCCAACTCGCCCTGGCACTTTATCTGAGAGCCAACATGACAGTTATGACGAAATTGCACCTTTGTGACATGCGTGCTAAAAATAGACTTCATTGTTATATTTCTATGCCAGTTTTGTACATTTCTCTCAATGTAGAGTAATTTTATTCTCTGCCGAAGACAAGGCCTATCTGCCTTCTTTGTGCGACCCTAGCTGATTGAGCTCTGACAAGGCTGCCGACCCTGGGTTCGCCGCTACCCTACAATGCACGTTGAAGTTTCAACTTAAGAAAACGCCAAAATTTTATAAAATCTCTTGAGCAGCTGCTTGGCCAAAACTATGCTATTAAGGCTTACCTTCATATGTGGCATTCCAGCTTGTCTCAAAGGCTCGATGCACAAAAACTCTTCAAGTTGCATAGGGACGAGACGGCGCTCACATTGTGCGGGCATTTTTGAGGAACATGAAAATAGTTTCTTTATTCATCACGAAATATCTTCTCTTCCTCACACAGACGGCTACGTCTTTCCGCTGTCTCCTTAACAAGCCGCTCGCTTCTCGTCGCGACTGAAGTTTTACGGCCTCGCCGCTGCCACTGCCGCTGCCGCCGCTGCTGCCACCTCGACCACCGCTTGCGCAGTTTCCCCATGACTGTGTCTTGTGTCTAGGAAAACCTGATGTTCATCACAATTTCGTTTCTACCTGCATAAAGAAAGAGAAAAAGAGATTTATTGACTCATTGCCTCGATTATTTCGTATAAGTTGTATGTATGAGCGTTCGATAATCTTTCTACACGAGATACACGGTGCTCTCTCAAAAGCCAATTACTGCACGGAAGATTAGCACTAGCTCCATGCGGTTAGTGGTCAGTGGTTGTATTTTATTCGTCTTGGCAGGGTTCACAGCAGAAGAAGTGATATCAGCGGCAGCAGCAGCGGTAAACATTATGCATGGCACGAGTTTATACGCAGACTGGCAGCAATCGTAGATGTTTGAAGTGCTCTAGGTCTTAGAGCTTGCGCTATTCTTTATCACGCATTTCCCCACTGGTTATCGTCTCTTAGCTTCATTTGCAAAGAGCTTGAGGTTTGTATGAATGCAGGACACGTCTTTCCGCATTCATAATTAGTCCATAATTACTGGACACTAATGCATATGCAGGCACCGGCTTTACAAAGACGGAGCAGTGAAAAAAAATTAGCAGTCTTTTGTACTAGTCTACTTTGCATTCAAATACACGTCAGGCCTTGTATTACTGTTCGAGTTTTTGTAAGAAACGACGGTGTCAAAGTTCAAGGAAGTTGCAGTAAACGGTGAAGTTCCTCCATTTTTAATACCTTTATTGCTCACTTTGCATTCAGTATTTTATCGTTCGATGTGGTGATCAGCATCCTAGTGAGCTGATCTTGTCGGTTGTGTTTTCCAGGATGCAGATGACGACGAGTCCGACAACTTGGCCGAAGAGGACACCGACGAGGATGATGACGACGGTGAGTTAGCATTGCGAAAATCGCCAACTATTTGCGGCATCATCTAGGGTCTAACAGACAAAGAAAAGTCAATTTCTGCATGCACCCAGACAAGCTTTTCAAGTTATTGTACAACCAAAGCCTTAGGTTTGTTGGTATCAGAAATTTTTCATGTGAAGGCATAATACTGCAGACAGTGTAAAAAATTTGTGGTAGAGATTAAGGTTGAACCCTTGAGATTACCATTAATCACTCTCCTGTTTTGGCACTGTCTGTAGTAGACTGTTCGAGATGTCGCAAGTGAGTGCGAAACCAGAATTTATTTTCTTCTCTGCTTTCTTTCGTTTCATTTTTGAATGAAAAGACTCCGGCGACGATGATGATGGTAAGTCAGTGCTGGCAAAGCCAGTTGCTCCAAATCTCTTCTTGATGCTTTCTGCAGTGAGCAAGCCAAGTGCATAAATGTTGTGAAAAAGAAAAAAAAATACAAACTGGGAAATACAGCATGTGTCATGATTTCGTAAAAGCATTCAGTACAGTTGTTCTGGAGGTGATAAGTTTACAAGAAAGGCAACCAAAATTTGCCTTAGCCTCTTATTCTAAAATGTCTAAAACGGCTCTTCCCTGAAGGATCCATGTCGACTTGAGAAAGTCTATGGGAGCGCCGTAGCAGCAAGTTATCACAGATTCTCAGCAACTTCTTCTGTCTCCAGACAGAACAAGTCACTGCATATCAGTAATAATTTGCAGCAATTTTTTAGAAGCACAACCTCATTTTCAGTCAAGCAGTGATGATGCGCTCAACTCATTCAAGCAAAAGATGAACTTCGAATCGGACTTGTTGAAGAATACAGGGGTTAGTGTGCCAAGTGACGATCGAAAGACGGAACTGCAATTTTATCACACGTGTGCTCGCACAGCTTGGGCCAAAAGTGTCAAGCTTTGAGTTCTTAACGTTTTGCATAGCAGCTGCGATTAATTTACACATGCTTAGATACCTCTAGCGCTTGTGTCATACTTCGATGGGTACAATAGGTAAAAGCTACCAAGGAATGAAATTCTCACTGCTTGTCCCACAAAACATCTGTCGGAATGATGATCAGACAATAGAGCAGTGCCGTTGCCGTGTTTGAGTTGGGGTAACGGGAACATAACGCCAACCTTCCTTGTAAAGCGTGATGCGAGAAAGCAAGCTATCACTGGATAGCTAGAGTAGGGTCCGTTCTTTTTCTTCTGTTCCACTTGCATGCTCACGGAAACCTCGAAAGAAGACAGCTCACTGATTCAGTTGATCGCTGAGGTGACCTTGATTTGAGCCAGGACACGGCGTTTGTGAAGGTGCGGCCTCGTTTTTTCATCTTTATTAATTTTAGGAGCAGCTGCGATTCGCATATCGACTTGCGTTACCCTGCCAATTGCGGCTATCTTTGCACTTAGCAGACTATAGACGTTATGAGGGTTCTGTCATAATCTGATCATATTGCCTTCACCCAGTCTATAAATTAGCGACATGCTTGTATTAGTACATGGCCTGTGAAGGCACTCTTGCGCAAATTAGGTCTTGCAATCAGTTGCTATCTTAACTATCATAATTTCTATTTGAGATCATCATAGTTATTATCTCACGCTAATACTATTCGAATTGGTATTAATGTTAAAAACCTATATCTTTTTCCGAATTTTATGCAAAGCTGCAACACTTTTTTACATGTGCTTAGAAAACACTCACCACCACTTTAATGTATCAAACGCTGCACTGTGCCCGTGTAAGTGTGGGTCTTGCAACGGTACTGTGGGTCACCTCTTTCGCAAGCAAAGAACGTTCAAGTCCGTGAAAATAATCCGGAAAGAATCAGTTTCGGGGGGAAAAGTTACCAAGCCACTTTCCTCAAAAACAGCGTGGCTTATGCCACTACACTTTTGCCGCTCCAGACTTGCATATCCTCTCCTGTAAACTTCATTGCAACTGCAGCTTGTAAGGCTGCAAAGTATGCTTCTTGTAGGTTAGGTCTGTCATATTGCATTGCTATTTTATTATCTGCAGTATATTTTTTATCACCTCCTTCACAGTACATATATCCTGATTCAACATTATCGTTTTTGTTAAGCACTTTCGTCATGCGTACTGTGGGGTGACAGACTATCAGTTTCGCTCGAACATGGGCTTTGACTCAATTGGTATTTGGTGCTGTAATAACATCTAAATGGTATCGATAATTTCTGCTTGTTTGATATCGTAGCGATGCATCTGTTGTGCTTCGGTACACTTATTATATGTCTGCTTGTTGATTGTTCATGATCCATTGAAGCCCTTTTCTGGACAGGCACGGACATGCGCAATACTGCCGTACCGGGTGCATGTGCCTGTTGCTGGTGGCGACTAAACGGTGCACATTGTATCATTGTGAATGCGTGCCGCTGTTCAGGTTTCATTTGACACCGCCTATACATTTCACTTGAGTGTGTGTCTGCACACATCGCATTAGCTCTACAAGGTGACCATTCCTGACTAGACTCGTTCCTGACTAAACGACTTTTTTTTAATTATTCTAGTCTATCGGTGTATCTTGGTTGAAAGCCAAAGTATATGTCCGCTGAGCTTCAAGGTTTTGGTCTAGTAACTCCTGCTTGTGGTGGCAACATTTCAGTGCAGTCTAAAGGGCAGTAAAAAGGTGTTTACATCGATTGAAGTGCTCACTTAGGCATACCGTAGTTCCCCCATGCAGCGGGCCTCGTAATTATGTTGTGGTCCGGGTGCATAAAACTGCAGAATGGTTTCTTTTTTTTTTTTTTTTTCCCCTAGGTAAAGGTGCACAGTCAAAGCAGTCGAAGCTTTGAAAAAAAAAAAAACACTATCGAGTTATTTCACTGATAAAAGAGGCTTTATTGGGTACACAAATCTTGATTTGCAGTTTTACCGAAGCAAAGAATTTTCAGACAGTTTGAAAATAATTCTCAAAAATGAAGCCAATAACTAAGCAATGCATTAATCCTGGCATCCATGAGCAGTACAGACGGCAGTCCTATGCCTGTCTGTTCTTTCTCGATTCATTGTTGGCACTGTGTTTTGTATAATTCTTCGGTGATTTCTGGAAGTTTAACTCAAATGTTCACTTCAGTGCACAGGTTCTTTCCAGCTTTGAAAGTGGGAGCCGTGATAAGTAATACCTGCACTTTCTAGTGTTCCGACTGCCTCCTTATGAAGTGAAAGTAGTGTTTGATGACTGCTAATAATGTTGGGTAACAGTGTAGTTCTTGGGTAATAATGTAATATATATCATGAAATCGCACCATAATTGCCATAATTTATTATGAGAAACTGTGTATTGCAGAGAATCTAGATGTCACCTTAGCATTTCAAGCCGAGTTTCAACAAATTCGAATCTTCAAAGAATTAACTAGAAAATTGGGTGCATCCAACTTGTGTGTCAACTAGAAGGGGTTAAACAGTGTAAGTGGTGCAGAGTCACAGCAGCATTTGGCACCTGCTGCATGAAAACCGTTTGCAGACAGGAATAAATGGGGTGAAAAAATTACGTTGCAAGACTTTTCGTGTTTGAATTGTGTACTCATAGAGAAGTGATGCCTCCCAGATGTTACATATTGCAACTGATGCAGCATGCGAAGTAAATGCTAGAACATATAGGTAGCTTTCGTAGCTATACACCAGGTTACAGTGTATTATTGTACGCTGTGTTATGTAGCCTGTTGTAAAAACCCCCAGTTTTTCACACCTAGTGCACTTCACTCAGTCTTTAAGCATATGTTTCTGCTTATGCTACAAACTGATTGTAGTGGCGTTTCAGGATCTGCATTCTTTGTTCATGATCGTGCGGTGTAGCAGCACCACTCCTAGTGTATGCCAATTTTTCAAGACGTTTATCACAATGCCAGCTGTCTAAGTGGCCGCTGTTATTTCATTGTGTTGTAGTGGTATGTTTATTGTCGTATTCTTAGGTGTGGTAGGCATGTGCTAGGAGCATAAATTAATTTATATTTGTTAATGTGTATCCTATCCAATTACTAAGTACGCTCTTCAGTAGAAGTAATGGAAAAAATCAATATTGACGAAAAAGCTATAGTACTTGAAAAGCATATTTATTTCCAGCTCATGAAAAAACGTTAGTTTTTTATTGCTTGAGAACAGTATCCTACGTATAACATGGACCATTGATTATAAGTAGAGTGCCTTTTTAGAAAGTTATGCTTAATTATTGGAACGGGTGCTTACGCTATTGTCCACAGTATGCATTGGGCACTATTTTTTAGCAATGAAGTTTTTGAACTTGGCGCTGATGTTGTTTTTTCTCCGTTGTCATTATTTGCTTGAGTGTCAGCTCACTGAACATATGTTAATGCTAAATAATGGCATTATGTTGTTGCTTTTTTTTTCCTTTGTGTGCGGATAAGCTAACCCATTATTTCTTTCATGTTTTTCACTCAACTGTTTGGGGCTTTTAGCTTCGGCATATATTTTTAACATTACTGTGTTACCAGCATACAAAATAGCGTTTACCACATTTCCAGAACCCATGTTTCAGCAAGGTTCTAGCTCCCGATATTGCATTTGCATACGTGCATAAACGTGTGCTTCTACGTTTGCACAAAACACTAAATGGTAATATTAACTGCATTTAAACTACATTTTTTTATATATAAGATTGAATCACCGCTGCTACAAATTCAAAAGAGAGGTTTTTAGCATGCACATTATCCTAGTATACTCAAAGGGGTGCAGGAATACCGGGTTATTGGATGAATGCTGTCAACATTTTGTGACATTTCGTGCAACCACAGTCAAGGATACACTTGTTTTTGCCTAGTGTTTTTGAGAGGGAAAGTTATTAAAGAGGGAACTCGCTCGTAACTTGCACCGCTGTAAGGCATTTACACCAGACGTGAAATGCACAAGGTTTCTACAGTAACAATTTTGTGCATGCCTGGTTCATCTTCGTCTCGCTAGATGGTGCCACCTCTCCAGCCTGTCGGTGCTTTAGGCATCTCATGGTTACGGCTTCAGTATTTTAGGTCGCCAAATCTAGCTTCGGTAATCCGGCTGGAACAGGGTGATTGTGATTGGCGCTTGCACTTGGGTTTATATTGACTCGGAGGTTGGAGTATCCGCAAAAGGATGCTCGACGGCTGAAGCCTCCACAAATAGTTATCACGTGTGGCCATAAACACAGGTAGATGTGCAAAGTGTGGTCCTATATGTAAGGCTTATTTGGCAAGTCGTTCATGTTTCGTCAAGGCCCACTGCGTGTGCAGATTCCTTCTGTTGTTTGGTAACGTAAGCAAGTACCGTACATACAAGCTGAAAGCCCCCTTTGATTCAGCTTCGCAGTACCGGCCCATTGTGATACGCTCTTGTTTCTTTCCCAATCCTCCCCCTCCGTGTTCTTTCACTACTTAGCAGAAGACATGGACGCCGACGAGCACGATAACGATGATGACGACGATGGGGATGATGTGGCGTTCAGTCTCTCAGACGTGAGCGACGATGGATCCGATGACTCGGACGATTCGGACGAAGACCAGGTACTTTTTGCACTGAACGAAATCTGAACCGGGAGAATGCCACAAGTCATGGCCGCAGCGTCAAAACACGGTGATTGACTTGTGTGTGTGAAGAGAAGAGAGAAGGCAGAGGAAAAAAAACTTTTAATTTATATTATAGACTTGTAACATACTACAACTTGACTACCCTCTGACCGGCAGGAAGGACAGTCTGCTTACTGTGATTAAATCTCTTCCCGTCGTCATTTTATAACGCGCAAGTTTACGAAGTGCAGTGGTGGACCGTTGGTGTGTGGCGACACACTTGGGTTTTCTCTGGGCGTGCGGACAGAACTCGCCGTCAGACGTACGCCTGTGATGTTGGTGCCCGCGCAAGTACCGAAGACAATATTCTGCATTATCCTGCTGCCGCATCACTCCTTGTGGCATGTCTTAGGCCTCTTCTCCTGCCACTATCCTCCCTCCCTAGTCCTATAGGCCACTCTCCCAGTATTTTTTTGACAGCTCAGGCCGTCAATAATGCGTGCTCTAGTTACCCACCAGGCTGCTAATTAGCTCACATGCTTTTCTGCCACTTGCATGTGTTTTGGTTTGTCGCTTATTTTACTCCCACCTGCCCACACGTTCTTCTCGTTATGTGCTTTCCCGATTTCCATTTTGTTGCATTGCATGCCGACAGAATCTTGCTCGCTGAGCTGATGCAATCTTGCGCGAGTGTTGGATGAAATCCTAGATACAGTCAAGGCCTCTGCGACGAAGTTCTTGGGACCTCTGTTATGGAAGTTTCTTTGTAATGATGTTATGATAGCATACTTACATGGTCGTGCAGTGCACGTTATGCGTCTTTAGTGAGCAAAAAGATTACGAATTTTGTGTATATTTAGTCGTAACAGTCCAGGATTCGTTGTGTGCATGTAAACCTAGAGTGCTTTCTCGACTTACTGCGTACCTGTACGATAAGCACCTCTACTGTTCACCTTACCGATATTCCTTATTCACATGACAAACAGTGTCACCTTTCTGTTCTTCTCTGATCATTCTGCTGTTAACTTGAACACATTTTTCACTGAAAGAAACAGACCAAGAGTTGAGATTCTTAGAATATCTTCGCATGCTTTGCCTTTCATGTGCCAATTGTCAGGGAACATTTCTTGTAATGAGTGATTGGGTGTCGGTAACACCTCAGTTTCTGTGCTGTATAGGCAAACCTGATGTAGCAGAAGGCATTTGCAATAATGTGCATAAAAGAAAAGAACTCGGCCAGGATGTAACGAAACTATTATCACGCAAGAATTTCGTTGTAGAGGCAATTGACTGTATTTCCTCTGTTTTTTTTCTGTTTTTTTCCTCCTGTTCTTCTGTTATGTGCTTGCACCCATTTCTTTTCCTCTTCCGTTTGAGCAAAAAAATTTTCCCAACTGCAGCGGACAAGGTGATCAAGCAGCGAAGGTGGCTTGCCATGGAAGGGTGGAGCGATGGCGGCATGGCGGCAAATAAATTTCACTATTGCCTGCACATCGTTTTTATGTCGGGCGTCGAATGAACTGAAGGAAAACTGCGTGCTTGTGTTCCTTGCGCATGAAACTCGAGTTCACGGCGTGCCTCGTCACTTCTCTCGGAACACACGGAAGTTCTTGTTCTTGAAAGTGATTAAAACCTCTTTTTTACTCAAGTCTCCTGCCTTCAATGTCTGATTTTTTTTTTACTTTTGCCATAACATGGCAAGTGGTCTTTCACTACATATGCACCACGGCTTGGCAGATGCCTCTCTGCTTCACAACATGGCATCAAACTCTGCCACCTACGATCTGATAGAACTTGAGACTATCTTTGTTAAATGTCAGTGGATCTTGAAATTTTCTGGGCATGTCACTCCGTACACTTCCCTAATTATTTCAAAATCGCAGGGCTTGGCAGGTACACAAATCGCTTACAAATTTCATTGATTTCCTCTAAGCACTCTTTTGGCTTCCCCAAATTCGCTGACCACATTGTGTAGCATCAGGCTGGCTACAGGGACCGGCGAGCGGAAACGACCCGCTGCAGTTTCAGGAAGGCGAGAGTAATGTACATTTACAAGTCTCCTCGCTGGTAACTACAGGAGGCTCTAGCAGTTTCAGTAATACCATACTGTGCAAACAATGAAAGATAATACCCTAGTGCGACTATAGTATTAACCTGCAGCGTTTTCCCAAAATGATTTTAGACGCATGATCTGCTCAATATATACGGTTACCATTATCATTACATGGTGAAGAAATTGCCGGAGATGGGCTTTAAAAAGGCAATAGTGGTTCCACTCGGATGACCGAAAGCACAGCAGTCAATTTTCTCTGCGATTAAAAATAGTCTCACTCGTATACCCTGCAATGTTCTCCGATTCCGAGGTCACTTACTGTTGGACTTGTGGCGTTGGCCTACATTACAAACTCATTGGTACAGACTAATGTACATAGTGTTTGAGGTTAAAATGTCCTAATATGATGCTACCTTCCAAAATTGTGTTTAACCATAGAATTGATTGCTACATATGAAACTGCAAAAAATAAGTTTGGCTGTCGCTTTTCTTCCTGTCTGTGTTCCTCTTGTAGTGTGTGCACTCCACGAAAAATCATTACTTGGAGGCCAGCTTTCCAAGCGACAAAAAACTTTTTAGGTGCCAAAAATAGGCAGGCACAACATGTCTTGGGCCTCCGATATCCTAAATATAGGCAAAAAATTTTTCACATTAGCGCAAATAAGTTAGAACTCATGTGCAACCCGTATCTGCACAAAAATGCAGGCACTTGGACATGGCTGTCTCTATTGTGCCACATGGTTTGCAAAACGGTGTCTCCATTTATTTTACAGCTTGACAAGTCGTGTGTCCACTGTTCAACATGTTTCTGGGTGTCTTTTTTGCATGGCTGAGAAGGGCACAGTAGCTAGACTGCTAAAGAAACAGACCACCGGAAAAAACAAGGGGCGGATAGCTCTATAAATTGTGTAGAGCCAGTTTTTTTCCCTGGTGATGAATACCACAAGTAAATTACTAACCAAAAGCTGTGTGTACATCACATTTTTCTTTTTTCTTTCGCTATTCACTCCTTTCCTCTGGCGGCTATGAGTGGTTTCGTATTCATCAGCTGCAGCCAGCATGGTGGCAAAGTGGTGTATGCCGGCCGGCGCGTCCAACATCACTGCTGCCAGCAACGGGTTTATAAGTTGGCATTATACGTTGGCCCTTGTAGAGTTTAACATGCAGTGTTGCCCAGTAACTTAAACAACCCTTTTAAAGGGCATTGAAATGCAAAACTTGAGCCTAAGTAGTGTTCAGATAGGCACTACTTCTGAGAATAGGCATTTATAGGCATGCGTTACAATTTAAGACAAACGCCATAATAGGCATTTACAGGCACTATAAGAAAACTAAGTCCTTGTTAAGCTCCAATTTGTGCTCTTATACAAAACTGGCACAATAGTAGCACAAGGAACAAAATGTGTCTGTGCCTAAAATGTGTTCTCTAGTCATTTCTAACAGCCATCGTTTTTATCCATCCACGATCACGCCTCAGCATTGCTTTGTGCATACCTGCCAAGTCTTCCGGATTTCGACCGTTTTGCACGGTTTTACGGTTGTCATGAAAATCTTCCGGAAATCGAAGTTTCTGTGCGTGATCTGACCGCATTGACAAAAAAGCAGCTCATTCTGCTCCGGGCTTTTCAAACCTATCCTATTTTATTATAAATGACTTTAAAAGGCGTTCATCTAAACGTACAGTACAATCTCAGTGATGGGAAACCGCGGCAGATACGCATTTCCTGAAATTCCCCAGCCAAACTTTGCTTTGTTCATTAGGCCTCAAGTCGAATGTCTCAAACACATTTCCTAATCGTGGTGGGTGATACAAACTTTAGTAAGCAAATCGCGGTACGAAGGCTGAGAGCAGCGTACTCGAAGCTTCGGAAGTACGCGTGCAACCGGCGCACGCATCGTCTTCTACAGAGCGTGTGATTGAAGTTGACACAACCGCTGTGGACGAAACCGCGGCCGCTTTTGACATGGTTATGCATGGCGACGACGTAACTGACAGAACCCCGAAAGTGTGCGCTCAACCAGTCAAAGCAACGCTGCTTCCCGCAAACTCTGCGAACAGAAGTGCGGAAGATGCTATCGTGGATGGCATAAAACGACTTAGTTTTGAAGGCGCGTGTGCAGCCAAGCGCATGGGGATCGTAAAATGAACTACCGTTTGCCACATCGCAAAAGCAATCTATGAGCTCCGGGGGCATGCAGCGGTAGGTTAAAAGCGGTAAATACGTAAAAAAAAATAAAGTTGCAGTTTCGCCGCAAGGACGAAGCAATAAATGCGAAAGCAACAACTTTGAATGAGAATGGCAAGCAGATCGAAACGTGCAGTGCGCTGCTCACACACGAATCACGCACGAAAACGATACTCGCAGGACGAGAGCGAACTAACAACGTTTACCGCTCGACACGTAAAGCGCTGTTTAAACAAAAACGATGCACGATACGTAATCACAGGTACCGATGAGTACAAATTAACAAGCGTCCCTGTTGTCATACCTCACTGTGTATGAAAAGCGCGCTGTTTTCGCAAAAAGGGCCTGTGCAGAGACCAAAGTGACCTTTGCGGGCCCGGCAACTAACGCTTTCGTTTCAGTGAAAGCCGAAGGCCCACGATTCCCCCACCAAAGGATAAGCGAGCGCGCACAGGCATCATCCATGGGGCAAAGTACACGTGAGAGATAAGCACGCGTCGGCGCATCGCGACGAGCTCAGCGCCGAGCGTGGGCTGCTTTTTTTTTAGTGTTTATATATATATACATATACACATATGCATACATATACGATGAAGGACGGCGGTGCTGGCGACGGCCAAAAAAAAAAAAAAACACAGCTTGACTGTCTATATAAATGCTATCTCAATAAAAAGGGGCCAGACGCGTGTTGGGGTTCCTGTCAAAAGAATCTAGCAGTGTGCAAACCTTTGACCAGCGCTTTTGCGGCAGCCAGCTGCGCGCCGTCCCATCCATTTACGTGTGTCTCGGTTCAGTTGTTTTGACTGAAATAGATAAATAGATTCTGCTAGTTGTGTTCATCCTTTGAAACTCTCACCTTAGAGAAAACTCTACCCTTGTGTGTTCGGCTACTCCTACCCACTATAAGACTGCAACGCTGATGTTGGCGCTTGCAATTTAGACCCCCCCCCACCACCACCACCTTTTGTTTTTTGCGATGTTTTTTTTTTTTTGTTTGTCGTTGGTTTCCCCCCCCCCCCACCTCCTTTTGTTGCGGAAATCTCCCGGATTCAGATTCCTTGAACTTGGCAGGTATGTTTGTGCGCTGCCACCGGTTCTTAAGGTGGTACGGTACGATAAACTCCCCAAAAATCTAATTTGCAATTTTTACACCGACAAATCTCTTCACTCTGAGGAACAAACCTGTGGAAGCCCGACGTTGAGCGGCTGCTCTAAGCGGCCTAAATGCCACACCAAAGTGCGCCACGCGCCCTCTGTGGTGAGCAATATGCGCATATAAAAGTCCAGTTTTTCTCAAATGACTTTTTAAAAATATTTTCCAACTTCAATGTACCTTTTCTAAAAAAAATATTGAATCGATATCGATGAAACTTTGCATGCATAACCCAACAAGTTGGAAACAATCTGAACTGTGAAAGTTGTTGATTTTGTAAAAAGTGAAATTATGTCACCCTCTGGGGCTTTGTGCATGCAGTAATTTTTTTTTCACAAAAACTCCATAAAGGATACCCTATTTATAATTCAGATGTAACCTACGAGTCTCTACAATAACACGGCTTATTATCATTACACTCCTTTTGGTGGTTCCACGAAAAAAAAAAAAAATTGGATGGGTGAACCCACTTTATAATTTGGGAATGGGCCTTAGAAAGGAGAAGCAATGGAGACACAAAGAAGGGGTGCCGCGCAATAACCAGTCGCGTTCTTTGTGTGCCCGTCAAATTCGATGTGAATACTTGCAGTGGATTGTAAAATATTACGTAAAAAGTGACATATACCGTATACCCTACCATGCCCTCTTAAGGCAAAATTCAGATAGTTCACTCCTGTTACCCGTTGTTGCCATTTTGTTTCTCAAGTGCGACACAGTTTTTTACTTTGCAAGAAAGAAAAAAACGTCAAGTTTTACACTGCGCTTCTTAGCTGTACACCCATACGAGTAGGGAGTGTTCACATTTGTCCCAAGTCATAATATTCATGGCATGCACAGTACTGAACATGTCTGGTGCGTTTAGTGAAGCAATCACACACACATGCATGCCCATAATGTTAAGCACGGAAGATTCAAGTTCCAGCCAACGACACAACTGCACGTTGCATCATCCTTTCGTTTATTGTCGCTGGGAAACAACACATCACCAACACCGCATTCTGCAAGTGGCTGCACACTTTCGCACGGACGGATCACTCCACTTCATGTTCATTCGCATGAAAGCAACACACTTTCAACAACACTTGCAGCAAATCGCTTGACCCAGGAAGTTGCATCTGACGACTGAGCTTCGATAATGTATACAACTTGCCTTTCACATTCCGGCTTTCTGACTAGAGCTATTATGATGTGAGCTAGGACGAAGTAAAAAAAAAGGGTTGCTTCAACATAAAAAAAAACAGGCACACTCTTAAGTTTTTCATGTTGCACCATGCCCCTTTTTATGCTTAGCGTTTCAATTCTGGGCCTATTTGCAACAACGACTCTTCATACTCTCAATGTTACTGGAGAAAGTGCCTTTATCATAAAATGTAAGCACACAGGTATCATCACAACAGTCAACACCGTTAAAAAATAATTTCATGCTGATACTCTTATTACGGAATCCTGAAATGGTTACACAAAAGCATTCAGTACAAAAGGATAATGTCAAAGCGTTCACTCTGTCTACAGCAGTAATCTTTGGACATCTTACAGTGCTCTGACATTAAGAATCGCGACATCTTTCATTTGAGCAGTCGCAATACCTTTTTTGGTTAACCATTTCAGCATTCCTGCTTCAAATACAAAGAGGAAAATTCTAGAAACATTTAAACGAAAACACATGGTTGTAGTAAAGAGTACAGTCTTGTTCACAAAATGCCCTATTTTAAATAGCTAGCCTCACAAACAAATACTTCATATACACTTGCGCAAAAAACAATTCATTGCACCCTCATTTGCACTTGGGGACAGTTACAAGAGAAAGTTAACACTGGTGTTCTCGTTGTGACGCTACCAACGAAACATCTCTGCCGTTGACAACTCATCATTGCACAGTTGTCTTAATGGGTTTAACACAAGGAGAACCAAGTACAGGTATTGTAAACCACAATCGGATTGTCACAATACGGTTTCCACAAGGTCTCACATTGATCTTTAGTGTAAACAAGTAACATTAACAGCTGTAAAACGTTGATATGTCGGATATAACAAGTTCAGAGCGTTTTGGCTTCCAAGTCTTTTTAACAAGTGCATATTTTCAAACACTCCTTATTCAAGCTGAATAATAGAGCAATAATTTCTTGTTACTTTGACCACTCAAAGGCTATTGATTTTCATGAATAGAAAGTCTACATGTGCAGCTGCATGAAGCATATAGGTTATTGTTTTTTCACTTGTCAAAACCTCTTCTTTTTATTGATATTGGCTGAAAATTTTTACATCTAGCACACAATTTTTTTACAATCAAGCGACTGACTTGTTGAGTTCATCATAAGCATTGCATTTTTCATGGAGGGGCTGTAAATTCTTTTAAAAAAATATATGATGAACATCAAAGACATTAAGAAGTTGCACATGATTTCTGGTATCAGAAAGTGACAACAGCACCAGTTGGTCATTGGACAAAAGGTAATACATCAACATTCAACAGGAAAAACAAACATTGAAGTCTTGATGCAATACTTCTCAAATAGTTCATGTCTTTGCACAAGTTGTCATTGCACTATATAGGTTTGATAGTGTTTGCAAAACTGTGAAATGCACCATTTCCCAGGGGATGCTCAACATATTCTGAGAGTGGTGATAAACAGCCACGAAATAAGCAATATGCTGGTGTTAACTGGGTTTTGATTTTATTGTAGAGATTTTTATTTACTTAATGGCTATCTGGGTGCATGCATAGATTTGTAGCAGAATCTGGCGAATAGAGTGGTCCACCCAAATGATATGTTGAACTAAGTATCAGCTGATTCATTGCAACAATCGGCTGTGTCATTTATTATCATGAGGCTTCTAGACCTTTCTAGGCATAAATATTTTTGCTCTTTATGCACAAAAAAATAATAATTGTACTTTTGTCAAGAATTGTACAGCAGCTCGGAACCTCTGTTTAATAAAAACAGCCCTATAACAAACTTCCTGTTTTAAAAAACACGATTTTTGTGCATTCGATTCAATGAAGTAAGCTTATTCTGCCATTCGAATTCATGAAGAGGCGGATCGCACAACACATACGTAAGGCTTCTGCGGTTGTATCACAACACTTCATTCTTAATGCAGTCAGGCAAACGTATTTAGTTCTCGTCAAAAAGATCTATCACTTTATAGCTTATAAGAAATTTTTAAAACGTACATGGTGCTTGACTGATTCTTATGTTCGCGTTCATACTTTCGAAAAATGCTTACTGTTGCGCCAAGGGACAGAAAAAAAGCGGAGTCAAATTCTATAAAAAGCCTTCAGAGATATTTTTCAGGGTCCTTACAAGGCCCCTAAGCCATCAGCAAATCAAATTCGATGTCGCATTGCAGTTGTGCAAGAGATCACGGTGAACGCTAGCAGAGTTGCGGCTTTTGACAAGCGAAATGCACTCCTTTCTGCTTTCGTTCCTCGCTACGCTCGCATCGCCGACTCGTCTCTCCAACTCTCGGAGTTTTGCTCATCGCCGCGCGGTGACTAAAGGCCTGACCACACATACCCGTTGCAAAGCGTCAGCGCGTGATTTTCTTGACGCGGCGCCGCGGCCTCTCTCAAAGGAAAAGAGGGCGAGCAGCCACGCACCTTTTCTTTCCGTGGGGAGAGGACCCGACGACGCGTCAAGAAGTCACGCGCTTCTTGCAGTTCACCCACAGTCGACTAGCGTATGTTGTTCGCGACGTCACCTAATCCGACAGTCGACGTCACGACAGCCGCTGGGGAGAGCGAAATGCACGAGGAGGAGGACACGGCGTGATTTGGTAGGCCTGACCCCGCCTACGCCTTGCAGCGTGGCTTCGTGACGCGGCGCCGCCGTGCCATCTCCTTGTAGGGAGGGCGCGCGGCTACGTGAAACTACGTGCATTCTCCCTTCATAAGGAGGTGGCGCGGTGCCACGTCGGCAAGCTACGCGCTGAAGCGCTGCAACGCGTATATGCGGTCAGGCCTTGACGGGGCCTTTATGAATGGAAGCGCCACTGGGCCCTCTGTTGAGCTAGTGCACGGCCGCACAGGGCGAGCCCCATTGGCGCAGTCCGAGATGCTTCCAAGTAATTTGGAGACAAACATTGGCGCCGACCCCACATATCAATCAATCAAAGTTGCAGTATACTCGTCCAGATGTAAATGAAGACGTGTCCTTTCAGGGGATTGGGCTATAAATTAAATACACCTCCACATTATAAAGGAACCCTCGTAGCGTGCGCCGAAATGTAGTGAAGAAAGTCCAAGGAGACGCAACAGCGCCATCAGATTATACACTAGTGGTAACGGGACTTCCGGACAACCCGCGCCGTTCACTAAAATAGCCTAAAGAAGTTCGTTTTTTTAATAGAAATCGAACAGAAATAATCAAGTGCACTTTGGTAAGTCTTGTAAAGCACTACAATGTTCATTTTTTATCATAGATTGTTTGAGTGTCGGCATTAATATGTACTTGAAATTGCATGCACTGAGGAACTACCACGTCATCGGGCTTTGTGGTGGCGCAAATTTTGTCTTGCATTCACCTGATCATCTTTGTTACTAAAGCGATGGTATGCATATTATTAACATTTCAGACGCACTCGAGGAGTGACCTTTCACCCTGACATAGCAGTATTCTAATCTGTGGCCAAGGGGGCAAGCCATTGATTTGAGCTCCACGGCGATAAGCGTCACAATATTTAAAATATAAGAAAATGGCTGCAGCGATTACTACACACCATTTCAAAAAAGTGCCGTTAAAGTCGGTCCATCCAAAAAAAAACTATGGACCATCTCCCCAAAGGGAATCCTGATGAGATGTGAACGCGGGTGCTGTAAGACCGGCTTGAAACGAAACTCGGTGTAGCGATTACTCGAGTAAACGTTTGTTTGAAACACAGACACGGGAGGCGAAACGCGATGAAGATGCTTGCGCTCCGCTTCCTTGGCTCGCCTCTCGTCAGTATTACCCGTGCACCGTCTGTATTCTCGAACGCGTTCGGTGTTCTTGACTCGCACCTCGTCGGCGACGCTAGTCTTCCACTGCCGACGCTCGCCTTCGGCTTCCCTGGCTCGCGCCTTGTCGGTGTCTACGCGAGCGGCTTCGCTAACCCTCACGACGCCGGCGACAGCAGGGAAAGGTACTAGCGGGAAGCATGCCGCGACGGCGTCCCACCCATCGGCGCGATCGCGCGGTAAGCAGCGGCGCACTGGCCACATTGTCAGCGCTGCGAGATTCTCAAAGCGCGTGCACCCGTTGGCTTGCGGCTTCTTCTCGCCAACAAATGGAGAGAGCTGGCGCGGGTGAGAATATGCCCACGTGAGGAGTGGGCTCGAGTGTTGCGCGCGGTGGAGAGGGTGAAGGAATAGAGCTCATGGCAGGCGAGGGAGAGAGGTCACCGCGCACTGCTAGGAGGGCGTGAGCTACTTGGCACCGCTCCAACACCTGCGGCGAGGGGAGCGGTGCGGACGGAGGGTTAGCGTTACAGAAGCTAGCTAGGCACTGCGCCGTGCTCCCTACTGGGCTGCAGAAATCAGGGGCCTTTTTCCTCTTCTAACCACTACCACCACCACCAAAGAGCTGCTTCGCATCTGAAAACAGCGCATTCTAACTTCACCTGCTTGCAAAAACATCCGAGGAAAAAAAAGATCAATAAAAGCATCACAACGGGTTTGCTCGGCAGGGGCTTTCTAGGCAGCGCGAAAACAAAATCGGCTGCGACAGCAAGACGATTGTGCCCAGGATGGACACAAGCAAGCTTTAGAAACGATGGGCTTAGAGTCGGCGACTGAGATGAGAGTATTTGAGCGGTACAAGCAAGAGAGACAATAAAGTATCAGTTTCTTCGCTTCTGAGCGAATTAGCAGCGCGAAACACAAAGCTTGCAAAGCAGCCCAAGAAAGCACTGAAACCCAAGTACAGCACAACAGAAAAAAAAAACGGAAAACAATCTTATTGCCAACGTGTACGTCACGTTTGTAAAAACTTAGTCGATCATCGCAGAAACGAACTATTTTCTGCATCAAAGTAAAAAAAAAAAGTACTATTCCGCTCACGTCCGAGCCACTGCAGAATGCCATTTGTATGGAACACTTCTCATAAATGACCAGCTTGTCACTGAATGAAAAATATGACTGTATTAAGCTGTACCAATCGTGCATGCCACATCAGCATATGATGACATAGCGAATCTGTGTATTCCCGCGTTTTTAGCGGCAAGCTCAAAATGGCATCGCTGTTCGCGCACGCATTGCTTTGGTACATAAAAATTGATATTTTGTTCGCTTTATATAAGTTATAGAGACGCCATATTGTACCTATTGCTTTGAGCTTCAGTCGCAGGCAGCTAGTGGCCATTACGCACTGGTTCTCAGCCACAATATGCTGAAACTGCTGTGCACAGATTCAATTTCGGCTCATTAAGAGCAGAGAAGGAGAATGAAAAAAAAAAAGGACTAGCGCTTCCATGAGCATCTTTCATTGCCTAGTGCACCGGGCATCACACCACCATGCGACACTAATATGCGGGGAACAGCCCCACCAATTAAATTAACACACGCACACACACACCATGCTTCGTAGTTCCTAAGACGGTGGCCCGTCACTTTCAAGGCTATCATAGTCCTTGGACTCTGTCCTGTTGCAGCGGTAGTTTCTGATGCCGTTGTCGCCGGGTACGTCGTCGAAGCTTAGGTCCCACAGCTGCCCGTGCCGGCTTAGTTGCGGGGGCGCGACCGACAGCGGGGTCCCGGCCGCCGTCCTGGCCACGGAGCGACTTCTGGGCTCTCTTACGTGGTTGTTGTCCCACAAGCTTCGAGACTTCCTCAGCAGCGCCGCGTCGTCTCGGTCTCTCAGCTCCTGGCTCCAGAGGCCCGAGTACTCGGTGTCCCACAGAGCCGAGCGGCGCCTGGCGGCCGCCCTGGGGTCATCGTGGAAGCGCGGGTAGAAGCTCTTCCTGTGGATCCTCTCCTGGACGCTCTCTTCTCCCGGACTGCGCGAGCCGGGGCTGTGCACGCTCGCGTCGCTCGTCCGCCGCTCCATCGAGACGGGGATGAATTTGGGCCGCTGTTGCGTGGCCTCCTTAGGAGAGTTAGTCTCCATGCAGCATGCAGTCTCGGGCGGGGCAAGGCTCGATCCGCCGGGCTTACCTCGCTCGGACTGCGCTGGGCGGTCGGGAGGTTCACCCCGCCTCGGGCTCACTTCGCGTGCCAGAGAGCCGCTGCGCTGCGACAGCAGGCTTCTCAGCCCGCGCTGTCTGCAGCGCCTCCAGGAGCGACGAGTCTGCGGCGCCCGGGGAATCACCGTCGTCCCGGCGCACCGAGTCGTCCTGCGGCCAAAGGCCGCACTCGGTGCGCGCTGACGTCGTCGGCGGCGTGGTGATTACGATGTGTGCGTTCGGGTTGCTGCTCCGGTTGTTGATGGATACTTGCATCCGGACCAGGGGCCTACGGCCTCCGCCGCGCTCGTTGACGCTCAGGGAGCGGCTGCAGGGAGCCCCCGGTGGTGCCGTCCTGTTACTCTCCACGCTGATCTCGCTCTGGTAGACGGGTCGGCTTTCCTCGCCCAGGTTGAACTTGTCGCTTTGCGAACGGTTGTACTTTTGCTGGCACCGCTGCTGGGCGCCTTCTTCGCCACGTGACTGGAGAGGATCCGCGTTGTCGTTGGATAAGTGCAGCCACTTTTCGACCCGGTGTCGCGTTCCTTCCGGATCCTGGTGGACACCCCAGAAGTCTGAGTTGCCCGCGCCGCGGTCCAGCGAAGTGCCGCGGTCGGCGTGGTGACGTCCGGGCAGGTCCTGAAGCCTGTTCCTTCGCAGCGTGCCGAAGAGCGATGCCCTGTCGACGGGGTCCCAAACTCCCGACGACCGCTTGGAGAAAGGATCGCCCGCGACCCGGCTGTGCGGCGTTCCGGGTTCGCTTCCGGTCGCCTTCGACGGCTTGTCAACCACGAACCGCAGCAGCGTCTCTCTCTGAGGTCGGGAGGACGGCGAGGACGGCTCCTTGGAAGACCTCGAGAAAGGAGACGAGGAAGGCAGGAAGCTTTTCCAGTGGTTCCGGAAGTCGCGACTCATGTTGCGCATGAACTGGAACAGGGCTTGTGGGTGCGAGCTGTCGAAGTGCAGGTCGAAGTCGTCTTCATCTGAAGAATCCCTGTCGGTTGACGTGGACACCTGGCCGCCGCCGCCGCTGCGCCTTCCCCACTCGCGGGCCCGCCTCTCGGGCATCCGCTCTCGCCGGAACGGCTCCATGCTGGCGAACGGGTCCGCGCCGCGGAACAGGGAGCCCTTGTTGAGCTTCTTGATTGAACTCTTCATTCGCATGAGGTTTCCGAACGGGCTTCGAGGTGCGCCAGTCCGGGAACATGTCGTTGAAGATGTCGGTGGACTCGGACGAGCTGCCGCTAGCAGATCGCGGCACCGTCAAGTTCGTCCTTCGGTGGCGGGCCAGGAGTGCGCACGACCTCTTCGTCCACAGCTCGTCACGTTGCTCGGCCTTCGCGTGATCTTGGTCTTCTTCTCGACCGTCGTCCACGAGCCGTCCGACTTGGGCTGTGCGTAGACGCGACCGCTCTCCGTGATGCATGTACCGTCCTTACCGAACGTGAACTTCTTGTAGCTCCGCACGGGAGAGTCCGCGGCCAGCCTGGCGTGCTCGTCTGCAGAGGAACCTTCGGGCGACATCCTGCGCGGCGGGGCTTCCTGTTCGGGAATTTCTTCTTCCGGCGTGCCCGGAACCGCGTTGTCCCACAAAGCTGAGGACTGCTTCTGCTGCTCTTCCTCTGCTTTCTTCCGGTTGCTGAGCGTGATCTCAGCCGTACTCTGGAGAACGTTGTCCGCTACGTCCGGTTCCTTGCTGCCTTCTTCAGTAGACAGCTCGCGCTGAGGCTTGGACGCGCTCCTGCGCAGGATGCCTCTGGAGGTCACAGGTACCGCGTCTCGCTTCCTCTCCACAGATGGCGACTTGTCACCTTCGGCCGCGGCTGTCGGGAACCCGACTTCTCTTTCCCTGGGACTGGCGCCCAGGGGGCTCTTACTCTTGGGCCGCCTGGGCACGGGAATAACTCTCTTGTGCACTACTTTCTCCGGCTGCGGTGGACTCTTCCGTCGCTGCGGCGGCCGGTGAAGCGGGTCTCGCACCTTTGTCCTCCGGAGCAACGATACAGGGTGGTTCTGCGGCAGCCGACTTGGGTGTTTGCGGCAGCGGCGGCTTCTTGGTGTCCTTGAACTTTGGGGACGCCGAATTCGTTGCCGGAGACGCCTGTGTGCTCAGGCATTTTGGAATGACTATCTTACCCGGGCATCGCACCCCCGAGCCTCTTCGCGCCAGCACGGGCGCTACCGACAATGGCGGCTGCTCTTCCACCGACGCTGCCTCGGCAAGGGCAGCGTTCTCGGCGACATTCGTTTCCGTCGGCGCCATGGCGTCCTTAGACTGTGGTTCGGCCTGCGCTTCAGGTTTTTCCTTCTCTTCTTTCTGGGCCAGTTCTTCTTCAGGCTTGCGGGCGCTTTCGGCGACCGCCTCTCCTCCCTGTTCTATCGGCTTCTTGTCGCTTATGGATGTCGCCGGGGCTTCCTGGACTCCTCTGTCGTCTTGCACAACAGGCGACGCCGTCGCAGTCGCCCCCCTTCTTTTTGGACTCGTCAACGGCCTCAGCGGGTGCCTCCTGCGGGTGCTGCTGCTGCTGTTCGTCCTCGAACTCGTCGTCGTGCACAAACGGTCCTCCCAGCATTCCCACGCTCGACTTCCTGGAAGACGAGTCGGACGTACGCACCCTCTTGTTCTTGTGTGACACGCTGGACATCCTCATCAGGCTGCCGTCTGTCGAGCACTGGCGCTTGATGTTCTGGCTCTCTAGCTCGGCAGCCAGCGCTGCCGGAATGAAGTCAGCCGAGTCGTCGTTCTTCAACTGCTCAGCCGGCTGGAAGTCGAAGCTGTCACTCTTCTCCGCGCCGTCCGGCGGGTTGGCGGCCTTGTCAAAGGCTTCCTCAGGGCGTCGGCGATGCCGGGGCCAGCGCCAAAAGTAGGTCTAATCGCACGGGCGTCAGGTTGGACATGTCTTCGGCGAGTTGCAGCAGCGAGTGGTCGAAGCCCTGGTTGACCCAGCGGTCCTGGCATATGTCGATGACTGTCGCATCGCTTGGCGGGGTCCACGGTCAGAAGGCGACGGATGAGGCCCGACGCATCTGCACAGTAGAAGAGAAAGAGATGTTTTAATGTGTTACTCTACATAGAGCTATCGATGGTTAGGGAGGGTACGGCGCCTAATAATGTATTTGGACGCCTCGGTACTAGCGTTCCCTTCACAGGGTGGTATGAGGGTCCAGTGCAAGTCTGTCACATCACATTTGCAAGCTTAGTGATACGTGTACAAAAATTAAGCATGATTTAAAATGAATTCTGTACGATATTCCCAATGCGCCAACTTTTCTTTCTTCGTCGCGAAAGGCCTGCACACGCGTTTTCCGCACAGCCACACCACACATACGAGAACACCTGCCGCACGCAGGCGGAGGGCAAAAGAGCGAATCGGAGACACTCTTTCGCACTGCGTTTGCGTGCGGCAGATGTCCCGGCACGTGCAGCGCAGGTTGTGCGGATAACGAGCGTACGAATTCGAACCCCCTTCTCTCGTTCCGGTTGGCAGTCCGGCCCCCACGGTGTCGTCCTCACCGAAAGTGGCCGTTAGCCTGAAAAGGTCGCCGATCCCTGATGTGCAGCGTAACCGCGCGAAAACAACAAAAGACAAGGGACGAGCTCTTGTCAGGGTACCCTCTTGGCTTTTGTTGTTTCCATGCCTCCACACGACAGAGCATTACATCGCCTAATTTTAGGAAAGCGACAGCACGTTTCGACCAATATAGTGGGAGGGGGTGGGGCTAAACTTCGCCCTCCTAATGAGAGCCCTGCGCGGGGCTACGGAAATACCAACTTCTTGCGTATCAGGGAAAGCATCAGGAAAATTTGCGACAATTTTAAAAAAAAAATAAGAAATAAATTTTAAATATGTCCGGTGTACACGCCGGTCGAAGCACAAGGTGTCGAAGGCCTTCGACTCCGCTATATATCGATGGTCGTTGAACGCGTGCAATGCACGCACATTGTTTTTATTGTCCCCACAGCTGCGCCACGTCTCAGCTGTCTCCCCGCAAAAAAAAAAGAAGAAAAAAAACCACTTCCGGAATTTCCAGCCACACTTCCCACACTGCTTTTTTTTTTTTTTAGCGTTGTGAATGTTACGCGAATTTAGTGGAATACTCGAAGTGCAACGCGCCGAGGCGTGGTTAATAATAACGGCGGCGAGCAAGCAATACTTTTGCATTTCGTACACGTGTTTGTAGACTTGGGCGACGCGTTCGTCATCGACGGCTGGAACAAGAAGCAGTAACAAGAGGCGCTCACCTGACTTCCTCTTGGGCTCGTAGTAGTCCGCCTCGGAGATCTGGCGCACGAGCCGCTTGAAGTTGCTGCCGTCGAAAGGCATGGCGCCGTACACCAGCGTGTAGAGGAGAACACCCAGACTCCAACAGTCCACCTGAAGAAGCAAGGAGTTTATTATACATAGTATGCAAGTCGGTGCACTATGCAAACATACAAGGGAGGGGGGGGGGGGGTCTCGCGGTAAACAGTGTATACTGGGGCAGCTCATCTTAGAGGTGAGCTAAAGAATACGTAAATAGAACAGCACCTACATTGCTTATTAAGTACAAGGATCGTTCACGCGACACGCGAACAGCACCAATCGTGTAATAAGATTAGTCGCAATACGACTGATCGGAAATGGCCGCTTGGGTTGTAAAGTGACTGCATGCTTTGGCTAAGCCGGTCGTTGCTCAATTTTTGAGTCGCAAACCTCTTAACCAATCAGTTGCGCAGCAGCAGGACGTCCACTTCATTTTACGGGGCATTGCTAACGTAAGCAAACGTCTCACCCTGTGCGCACGCCTATAATCCTGGCAACAACCGCTGCTGCCCTGACGGAACACCAGTTCACTCGCCCAAAACACCTCGTGCAGTGCGCGTTGCGAGAAAAGCCGATTCGGTCGCGTGCCTAAGAGCCTGCAGCAGTGAGGTCACGCACCTCTGGTCCGTAGTACGGCGTGCCCTTGACGATTTCTGGCGAAGCATACAGCGGCGACCCGCAGAAGGTGCTCAGGAAGTGGCGTTCGTCGTACACGTTGGACAGGCCGAAGTCGGCGATCTTGGCGTTGCCCTTCTCGTCCAGCAGGATGTTCTCCAGCTTCAGGTCGCGGTGGCAGATCTTGTTCTGCGGATTAACATTCACCCCGCGAGAAGTTCGTGCAAGCCGTAGCAGGAAAAGAGTAGGTGCGCATAAAGATTCAAACTGAATTGAGCCTAAGTGCGCAGACATATTTGAACGCCTTCAATAGCACTACGAAGCGAAGACGCGAGATGCATTTTGTGCCACCATGGCTAAACAGCGAAGCTAAATGCTCAGCTATCTGCAATAATGCAATGTGCTAGCAATGGCCTTTAAGAACATTAATAATAAAACAAAGGCGTTCATGTGCACTTACCTTGTGGCAGTAGTAGACTGCAGAGGCCACCTGGCGGAATATTCGTCGCGCCTCCTCGGAGGTGAGTTCTTTCCTCTCGCTGACGTAGTCGTACAGCTCGCCTCCGCTCGCGTACTGCATCACCAGGACGATCTTGTCCTTGTTCTCGAATACTGCGAGAAAGCGGGAGCTCATTTTGATTGCTCGGTGTATTGATTGCACCTTGGCGGAACAACCGCGCCGAGATGAGGCACGTAGGAGGATACAAGTCAGGTTTTAAAATTCAAAACGACCCACGTTCAATCCAAACTGGTCCGTTTTCTCGCTTATAGTTACCAAACGCGACACTCCAGGCTCGAGCTGGTTGGCCTTACGTTGTTAATGGGGAATTAGCGTAAACAAAACGGGCACTTAAAGACGAGCCAGACTAAGCTTTCTATGTTAGCGTTTATTTGCTCTAATTCGACATTTCTAACACAGCGGCACTCAGTGTCGGCGACGATGTGTTGGCCGTAAAGCAGGCTTGTCCACATAGTCAGTTATACTGCCGAGAAGCCAGCTTTAGCAAACGCTGTTTCGTAAAATTGCAGAAGGCGGCTTTTTCTCTTTAACAACTGCATTATCAAAATGTTGTTTACTCTAACGGTATTATAAATAAAAATAAAGAAATAGTGAGAAATAAATGGTCGCTTTGTGTTCGCTTTCATTGTGGCGAGGGCAAGTTTGTTGCCATTTGGTGCTCGTGACTGTGACGAGGCCAGTTGAACATATACCGGCATGATGATTATGATGATGACAATGATGACGACTGAACTTTATCATCGTATTCCTTATCATTTTAACAACGAAAACCAAGCGCTGGCAGCTTCAAACCAGGTGCGACAAAACGTTTATTTAAAAAACAAATAAAAAAAAGAGAAGACAACAAACTCCATCCATATGTGGGCTGCAAACGGTAGAACTGCTCCCCTTTCAAAAGACAACCAAGCTCTGTGGCGCCTCTGACTACACGATTAACGTTGTGATGTGACCGCACATGAAACGCCACTTGTCCCTTTTCTATATATATACATATATACATATATATATATATATATATATATATATATATATATATATATATATATATATTGATTTACGAGCCCTCGAATTTCCGCTTTTTTTCTTTCACCAACTGGGTCACGTTGCATGGTCACGACGTGGTCAGTACTAGCCTAAACAATGCTTACAGTGCGCCAATCCAGTGGAAACGTAATGTAGGGAAGTCTGAAATGATATAGACTACATAAAAAAGATCACGATTCTTGGACGACAGATAAGAGTGGTCTCTTTGGCTCGTTGGCATTGCACAGCTGCGTTTAAGAACGAGAAAAAAAAAGAAAAAGAAAGAAAAGGAAATACAGAAAGAAAGGAAACGATATATAGAAAGAAAGAAAGAAAGAAGGACTTTTATGATGTTCAGCTACCTCTCTGTGCATTTCGCGCGCTTAGACATTGCAAGGCGTCAGTACTTTTCCAAGCCCCCTTTAGCAAGCCAAAAGCTTGCCGGTACCCGCTGTTAAAACGGCCCATCAAGGCATTGTACAAACACTGTGGTGTTCCCTTGAACAGGCAGAGGCACAGCGCTGTACAACATTCTATAGCTTTGCTAAGAAGGCACCCAAAAGGTGCTGCTCTTCGGCTGGATCCCATAGTGAATGAACAAAAGGCGCACAGGTCGTCCTTGCCCTTCGAGCGTACTGGCCCGAAAATTTGGCACGATTTCCGCCGCCTTCACCTTGCGGCGCTGGGCGCGCGTAAACACAACACGAACCTCGGTGTTTGAGAAAACCCAGGCTGGCCGACTCTTCCTTTATAGATGCATCGAGACAAAAAAAAAAACATATTAAACAGGCGCCAAGCAAATCGCGCATTCTAGCCAAGAATAACGAACGCCGTTTCGTTCGGGCAAAAAAACGAAGGAGATGAGGGGTGAAAACCATAAATCTCGTGCGCTACTTTCTATCTTGTCGCCTCGATCCTTGGCTCCTAATCCGTCGTCCTTTTCGAGCACGCCCACGCGGTTTAGCGCTTTCCCCTGCCGGCGCGAGAATGGCGCAAGAACTCAACAAGAGACTGACAACTTCGAAGGCGAGGGCGGGGAAACAGTCGGCCCAGCGGGGGCGGTAGTATTGTTGGCAAAACGAAAGGCGGCGCTTTTTTCTGCAGACCACTGAAAGCAGTCCACAAGCGAGAGGGAAAGAGAGCAGTGGAGCGATACTGCACGTTCTGCGGCAGAGGGTGCACGGAGGAAGGAAAATTCTCGAGAAGCTGCGCACCATATAGGCTATCTTGCGGATGGGTGTCAGTACCGTCGTATTCGGCTGTTAACCGTTGTGTTTTGCATTTTTAACAACTAAACGAACTGTGTTACGGCAGACGCGCACGAATTAGGACGGTTGGGTTGGCACATACGATGCTTCATGGCCCTAATAATTCATGTCGGAATATATAAAAACAAAATAACATCGGCTCAACAGAATACGATGGCGTCGCCCATTTGTCTTACGAAAAAAAAAAATTAACCGCCACAGCCCGTCCATCAACGCGAACTTTCCAGAGAAAAAAGAAAACAAACTTGAAACCCAGAAAGAACGTTTTGTTGGGCACGTTGGTGTTCATTGCTAATTGCTTATTAAGCACTTTAAAAAACCGTTATAGACCAGAAAGCGTATAAATGTCATTAAAGTAGTCCTTGCCAGCGGCAGGTGTCGGCTGCTCCCATATATACACTGGCCCAGAATATATGCGAAGACGCGTCAATAAAAACGGCGAGCAGGGAAAAAAAATGTCGGTACTATTGCAAAATTACAAAGCACAAAAAAGTGAGTAATGCTAAATAGTTAAAGCACTTTGGTATTTTTAGGTACTCGATAGTGCAAACCTAACCATTCTATACGCTTACACTGTACGCTTATGCGCCTGCCGTTATCCAATGATTAAACTTGCATGCGTTATTGATGAGGAACGGTTACCTGTGTGCCGGTTCTTCCGCCAGTTGGCCATCATGAGAGCCGCGCCACCAGTGCGAGGCATCGAAGTAGCAAAGTAAAATGCAATGCGATTAACCCTCTTTGTTTTATTGTAATTAATTTCGAGGAGTGGAGTATATAAGCGCGTCAAGTCAAGAAGCAGCACGCGCCCGAAGTAATACCGCTAGCTGTCTTGCATGTTTGGTGTTATTTATTCATTTATTTATTTTTGCAGCTTATAAGCAGCACTTGCACCATACCTTTCACCAACGTCTACCACATACCGAAGTCGTAGACATATCATCACTACTGTTTCAGCAATGTTTTGCCGTCCTCGAGTGCGACCGGAAAAGCGTGGACTAATCCCTGCTCTCGCTCTCAAAATACGCGCAACCAGAAGTCGCATGGACGCACGTATCGGCGCTCGTTCGTCCGATCTTATCCGTGATAAACACGCGGCGTTTGCGTTTCCCTTTTCTGAACGAGCAGCGATAAATCCAAGCACACATCGAGTTGCACGTTCCAACGTTTATGGTATTTGAAGCAAAGGCATGCACCTTCCCCCCATACCGTCATATGAGTACACCTCGCCTACCTCCCCCCCTCCGGGGTGGTGGAAGCAGATCTCTTTTTTCCCCGTCCTTAGGCGTCTCAGGGGAGGCGCCGATTCTGCCCCCTATTATTAGTACCTTTACTCAGTCCGACCTCTCAGGTCATTCTTGAATACCCATGGTTATGGTTACACGACCGCGGCCTTCTGATGCTGCATTAAAAAAAATTGCTTACTTCTCAACAGTAAAGCCGCGTACGTATGGAAGTCCGAAGTGAGAAATGCGTCATCGTTTCGTCTTTAATTTTGCATTCATTGTGAGGCTCGTTTTCTCTATGCATGGCTGGGGGGAGGGGTGGAACTGCGGTCAAACATACCTTCACAGCCCCCCTTCCCTGATCAGAACCCTTCGTACGCCTATTCATGGTGTTTTCATTTATTAGCCATACCGACTAAAACGCTTGCCTCGGCCGAGAGAAAGCGCTCACCGGCGTGTAATTGCACGCTCAGTATATTTACACGCGACCGCTTTATCTACGCTATCGGAAAACAGCTCCGGATAAATCGGGAAGCGTCGGTGCTGCTTGCCGAAGCAGCGGAGTCCGTGAGATCACGCGCACTGCGGGGGTTGTTAACCTAGCGTAACACGGCATAGCAGGCGCTTATACAGACACCCATTTCGAAGAAATTGCAGAGTCAGAAACGAAGATATATATATCTACATACCTGCAGTTATTTGTATATATATATATTTAAGACGAAAACCATAGATGCCTCATCGATCCGTGATAAGTGACCTTCGGCGTCGCCCATGTCCGTTCTCCCCCCCTCAGCGGCCTCAACACGAATGACGCGAGAAATGGTCACCATGTCACGACGTCATCAAATCACAGCGTGACGTCACAGGTCGTCAATATCTGTGACACCACCTGATGACGACATTGCATGTCACGGTCGTTGGTTAAAGGTGTGGCCGATCACGGAGGCAGCGCAAAGTTAAGCCACGTCGAGGTGCAGAAAGCTCGCAGTGCCTCCGATCTCGGAGGCAATGTGAAACTTGGTGGTGGATAGGATCAATGCATTAAGTGAAAAGAAGGCGGAGGCTTTCGCCTTCGAGTCGGCTTACTTATGGGAAGCCACAAGGGACCCTGCGATTTTTTAGGGTCGAAGCTCCTTTAGCGGCACCCGTTCGTCCCTTGTAGTATAAGTAGTATAGTGCGTAACCAGTGTTACATTTTGACCTCCATGGTGGTGCCGGTGGGAGATTTATTCTGTGCGTTGTTGAACAAAAAAAAAAACTTCGCGGCGTGCGCGTTAACTAACAGCCGAATTCTCCTGTGTCTCATTCCCCCTTAGCAGCCATTGACATGTACGTTGAGCACTATCTGACAAGAAAGGGTTGCTACGTTATACCCGCTGGGCGTAACCTCCTAGGTTTTAGAAAGGTTTAGCGAGCGTTGGGCCGCAGTGCCATGAATACAGTGAACCAGTATATACCATGAACTCAAGGTGGTTAAAGGTGGGAAGTAGACACGAAGCGCAAGCCGTAAGAAAGTGTGCGTGTGCCACCTCTCTTTCAGTCTTTGGAATGTCCGCTGGATGGCGGTGCTTAATATATGATGAAAAGATGCGAGATGGTGGTACTTGGAGTGTTGACGGACGGACACAAGAACGAATGGACGGACGGATGCTTCGCCCCGCTCTCCATCATTCACCCCGTGGATATGCTGCCATTTTTTAGTTTCTTTCTTCACTCAAAGAGTAATTGATCAAAATTCGAAAATACGGCAGAAGAGCTGCTAAGATTAAAGAATGCACACCCGGGCTTCTCATGAAATGCTTTCCTGACTGCGCATGAAATCATTGTTTCTTTTTTTTTGTTCCCCCAACGACGGCGAATTAAAACAATGAATGCAACAGCGAAAATAGTAGGAGCGGAGAAGAGGTTACATATTTGAAATTTCTCGAAAACGAGGGCCGCTTGCTTTCTCGAAATTTTAGGGTAGATATAAGTGCACATTAATGAACGCGAAGTGGTCTAAATTTTCGGAGCCCACCAGTACGGCGCCCCTCATAATCATGTCGTGATTTTGGGAGTTAAACCATCACAAATTATTATTATTATTATTATTATTATTATTATTATTATTATTATTATTATTATTATTATTATTCGAGTACAATGTTGCATCAAATTCGAATTCGGTGTTTGCTCTTGCAAATAGTTCATCGACAGGAACACGCCACCGAAACTGCGCAGAAGCGATGAAACCACTCCGGATATAGAGATTCTCGAAGTGGAAGCAGCTGCACATGAAGTGGGGGACAGTGGCGCAGTAAAAATATCTCTCAAGCTAGGACGCCACAACTGGTCCTGTATCTATCTACTCGATAATTGCCATCTGGTTAACACATATTTTTCAACTACTGCATGGCTCTTAATAATTTCTTCCCAGAACAGCAGGATATTGGAACCCCTTACTTGCATTAACAAGTGATATAACTGACACAACTGGATTTAAACATGTCCCATCAACCTTACTGTAGCATTACACATTTGTTTCTTCTATGATATGTGTAGTTTACTTCACTAGATGCTCGCAAAAGCGCGCTTAAAAGTTTCTTTCTAACTATTCTGTATAATGCTTCCATTTCACTGTTACTGTTATGTTTTACTTTTTTTTTCTTATACGTAAACCACACCCTTTCTGCAACGTATTTATACCTTGAGAGTACTCTATATGAATGAATGAATGAATAAATAAATAAATAAGTAAAGAAATAAATAACTAAATGAATTAATGAACCGCGGCAGTTGAGGGGAATGAGGAGAAAGGCATAGGAGAGGTTAAACCGAGGTACGGCGCTTGGAGGACGTAAACCCAGCACTTGGCAGCACTATAGCCCTTGTATATGCAAGAAGGGGAGAGGGGGGGGTGCAGGGTGGCGATGAATAATTCACCGCCGCATACGAGATCACTCGGCGCAGTCGTGTGCTGGACGGCCATTGGGCGTGGCACTCGCGGTCACCTATTGTGAAGCGATAAACGTATACACGGTAAACGCGTACGTATGGTACGCAGCGGTCGCAATGTGTACGAGTGAGCGACGATAACGGTGTAAGTGTCCAGCGAACAGAATCTCCCAAGGTTAATGAAAGACAGCTATCTACCCACCCCCCGCGCTATTTAATTTTGAAAAAAAAGTAAGAAAAGGTATATCATTTCATAGAGAGAGAGAAGGCCTTCCAGAAGTTGCATCTTAAAACTATCTCTATAATATATGCTATTTTGTGCCCCTGCTTTATTTCAGTTTTTTTTTTTTTACTTGTTTGCTCACACCTCCCCTGCACGACCACATTTCAGATGTCAGCCGCCTGGACTCGACCGTTATAGTACGGTCACACCAAATATCATGTTTTCCTCACCTATCTTCTCTTTCGTGTTATTTATTTATTGATTTATTTATAAATTTATTTGTTTATTTTATACAACTAATTACAAATAAATAAACAATTTGCATTTTCCAGACGCCAAAGCCATGCTCTCGTTTACCGCTTTCACGTTCACCCGAAGGCCTCGTCTCGGTGGTCTAGTGGTTAAGGTACTCGGCTGCTGACCTGCAGGTCGCGGGATCGAGTCCCGACTGCGGCGGCTGCCTTTACGATAAAGTCGGAAATGTTCTAGGCTCGTGAGCGCAGATTTGGGTGCACGTTAAGGAACCCCAGGTAGTCGAAATTTTCGGAGCCCTTCTACGGCGTCGCTTTTATACATATAGTGGTTTTGGGACATTAAACCCCACATATCAATAAAATAAACGTTTACCCAAAGGGGACGGTTAGCTGCACGATTGGTTGCATAGGTTGGTCTCAACAGGCAATAGGTGCCACCGAAATGGAATGGCTTCGCCCAATATCGAAAGCTAAGAATTCTTCAATGCAATCGATTGCGAAGTGAAATAAAAAGGCTCTCGCCTTCGAGTTGTCTAAGGCGAATGCAATAGGGGACCGTGTGGTTTGTCTCTCTTTTATTGGTCTACGAGCTTGCTGTTCGAGAGAGATGTAGCGAAACCTCGCGGTATATTAATGCCCAGTTGAATTGTGGTGTTCCTAACGCTTGCCGAATGTCTACAAGGGGTCATGATATACGGCGCATATACTTTTCCTTATTCTTTAAGGCCACTTAAGTTTCCCAGTAACTTATAACCTGAACCTCGGCACGGGACCCCTCCCTAATCCCCCCGCATCGAAGCGAATCGAATCACGACCCGGCCGGAATCGAACTCGCGAACATCATACAACTGGCTACCGCGGCACGGCCTGCAACTGCTAGCAGTGACGACAGTACATAGCGAGTGACAGCCGCACCATGCGCCAAGCGTTTCCCCCAGCAACCTTGAGACTTCTCGTAAAAAAGAGCGACTCGCTTTCAAAGTTAGCCAGCGATGCGAAGCAATTCCTTCAAGTCCCAATTTTTACGACGTGAACGAGTGTCCGTTGTTCGGCGCCACCACAGCGTTAGCCCACCCAAGCCCGCCCTCCTTTCCTTCATCACCGTTGAAACGCAGCCAGGGACGTCGCATCTGGGCGTCTCAGCTCGTGTCGTAACCGGGACCAAGGTCACGTGCCCACGAACTCGACGGGGACGTCGCTTTCAAGCTGTATACCGGAATATACGGGACCCTCGCGAGTATACAACGAACGAGCGGCACCGTTTCGACGCAGCCTTCGAGCGCTCACGCAATGAATGTCGCGGACGGTGGCTCATTCCTAATGAGTCCCCGAGAGACGCTCGCTAGCATGCAAGTGCTTCAGTACGAAACGCCATCGGACTATACGCACGAGGAGATGGCGTAATGGTGATATCCGCGTGTTCCGGAAGCTTTTTAGCCGCGCGTGACCAAGACTGTGCCGGGAGTATTCATGATGACGATCATCACGAGCATCATCATCATCATCAGCCTCACTGCGCCCATTGAATGGCAAAGGCCTCTTACATGTTGCGCTAATCAAACCGGTCCTGCGCTTTCAAGTGCCACGTTTAACATCGTGTTTAACATCGTAACATCGTATTTAACATCATTTAACAGAGTATATCGTGTTACCACCTAACTTTCTGCCTCCCCCTCGCACGTTTGCCTTCCTTTGAAATCCTGCCTGCGACTCTTAATGGGCAGCGGTTGCCTTGCATTCGCGCTTTAATGCTTTCCTCATGGTTTCGACTGATACCGGCGTCACATCCTGCTGATAGCCCAACGAGCCCTATTGGGATCAAGTTTCTCAACAGCGATCGGCTCCCTTCTGCAGCTCGCGTATAAGAGCTGCAGAATCGCGGTCGCGAAACTCGATCGGGATCAGCTACGATCGTGATCAAATGTGGCCGCGTGACACCGGTGTAAGATGTTCTTAACGCCCGTCTGTTCCCTGACCCACTCTACTCTCTTCTTGTCCCTTAAGGCACTTATAATTTTCCTTTCCATGGATACACATGGAACTGTTTACATTAAGCGACATCTTCGTTATGCAGTCGCGCTCAGTTTGACTTGCAACATAGGAGCGCGTGGCCTCACGAGCTTAAAGACTGATCATTGCTTTAAGTTATTTATATTCTTATTTGGAATCAAGTGAGAGAAGTCGGCTTAACAATGAAATAAGAGCTAGTGGAAGCCGTACACAGTCCTTGAACTCGTGAGGCTACGTGCTCCCGTGTTGCAGATCACACCAAGTGCGACTGTACATATCGAGATACGATACTTAACCACGACTTGCTAATAAACACTCGTGCTCACCTTCGTATATGTGGATGATGTAAGGGTGCTGTATAGAGGACATGATCTGGATTTCCCTCCTGATCCGTAAAGAGTCCTGTTCCGTCTCGATCTTGGACTTCTTGATCGTCTTGATCGCCACCTGCAACGACAGAAAAACGACACGACTCCTCTTTAGTTGCGTGCACCGAGAAGGTCACTCTGGAGTACATAGTCGAACAAGTTGAGTAACGTTCTGATAACTACTGTGATATGTAACGGCGCTTACCATGAAGTTAAATAAATAACTGCGCTAATATACTTCAGGCAGAACGGATTCGGGGTGTTTTTATGTTAATAGAAAGACATCTCTGGATATAGAAAAAAATGATGACAATGCCTTGTGTCGCTCACCTTTTTCGCTATATGTTGGTCACCAATCTACGGGTAAAAGAGTGCAGTTTTGGTATTAAGGAAACGTGTGTTGCTACAATGCAGTTGTGACGTAGAGCCTATAGAAATTACAGCAGCAAGATGGCGGAGACACTTACGTTAGGACGCTCAGTTTCAAAAATACATAAGAAGTTGGTATGTTTTACGCACTAACACCACGACCTGATTGCGAGCTATGCCGAAGTGAGAAACTCCGGATTAATTTCAAACCATTAAAGTGTACCCAATTCTAAGTATACACGGGAATTCCGGCATTTCGTCCTCATCGTAATGTACAGTTGTTGTGGCCGGGAGTCGAACCAACGCCCTCGGATTTAGCAGGGTCGTTCCTAACGTTCGCGATGCGATGGCCACTGTGTCACTGAAACATAGCATGCTTTCTGATCGATGCACCACACTCTCCGCGTTTTTCCGATTGCCTTTTTCAGCACGCCCCTCCGCGGTGGTCTAGTGGCTAAGGTACTCGGCTGCTGACCCGCAGGTTGCGGGATCGAATCCCGGCTGCGGCGGCTGCATTTCCGATGGAGGCGGAAATGCTGTATACGCCCGTGTGCTCAGATTTGGGTGCACGTTAAAGAACCCCAGGTGGTCAAAATTTCCGTAGCCCTCCACTACGGCGTCTCTCATAATCATATGGTGGTCTTGGGACGTAAAACCCCACATATCAATCAATCATCAACCTTTTTCAGCACAGCCGTATACGATACACCACCTTGATTTCCTATAGCGTCGCCGTCCGCGTGTAAAAACACGCAGTGCCTTTTATAGGAAGAAGCGGAAGACCTAACTTAATTTGATGCATTACTTCCATGAATGCTCCCTACAAGGCGCCAAAGGTTCCGTCGCTTCAACGTTTCAAATTTGCAGTATTTGACGCGTCAAGCAAACAAAAGCCCCTCGTCTCTTTGAAAGATGTGGAACTATTAACGCACTAAAGTGATAGAATTAAGGGACCCCCCTCAATTTTTGCTGTAACAGTTGAACGCGAGAGCGATACTCGCGCGAAAGTCGCCACTGTGGTCTAGTGGTTATACTCGGCCCCTGACGCGCAGGTCACGGTATCTAATCTCAGCCACGGCGGCTGCATTTTCGATGGAGGCGAAAACGCTAGAGGCCCGTGTGCTTAGATAGTGCGCATAAAAGAACTTCAGGTGGTCGTAATTTTCGAAGCCCTTCACTACAGCGTCTTTCATAATCATACGGTGGTTTTGGAACGTTAAACCCCAATAATTATTTTGAATTACAGCCGCACGCACATACATACGCGGGCACACACAATGCCGAGGCACATTAGCTATACTAACACTTCATCAGGACACCGCTTTGTATAGTCCAATTCATTGCCGTCGCTATCGTATATAGTCCACCACAATAATTTTGCGTGGATACTCTCGATTGTACTCGCAGTTACGCCAACAAATGTAGGGAAAACCCCTGCAACTGATAACGATAGCATCACCGCTCCATCTCCCCATGGCGTCTGCGACGCGTGCACGAATAATTCTCTCTTGCTCATCTTCCTTTGAAAAGCGCGCTACCTCAACCGGTGTCCTTGTTCGCTGCCCAATGTTTACTGTTGCATCGCTGTTATAGTGTCGCGAGAGCAAGGTTTCGCGGAGAACCCTGTTCTTTTACGGCTTACAAACGGAGCAGTCAAGGTCGCCCCCGTTCGGGATTAGAAGGGGAAAGCTTACTCGGAAAAGCGTCTAGCAAGAGGCAGGTCCGGCGCCACCGTCTGAGTCTAAGCCATTGTTAACAGGCACGCGTGTCATTGAGAATGACATGGGGACGCGACCACTTAGCCTGACCGAGACATAGTGGCGGCAGGTAAACGACCATATTCTCTCGCGCTGTTGTTAGGATGTCGGGGCGCCTCGCTGTCGCATGTACACCTGGTAAGCAATGGTGTACCCATCGCTCTTAAGGACGCTTCTAGGAAGCAACAGTTAATGAAAGAACTTACGGGGCCCGAGCGTGGGAACGGCTGCCGACGGTAGTCGGCCGAAGGAAGCAGCACGGCCTGGTATGGGAGAGAGTGTCCCGTGCGGAGAACTTATCCCTTTGCGTGTTTCATTTGGTAAGGAGGTTTTTACAACTGTAGTGCCTTTTATGAAAGTGTTTCTGTGATTGGTTGTGATGCTGCGAGTCCCAACATGTGATTGGTTTTTGTGAAGACTCTTTGTTCGACCAAGGGTTAAAAAGAGGATGTTTGAACTTGAAAAGGGAGCGGAGTCGGGGTAAACAGCGGATCTCACCACGGGAGACCAGGCCATGCAGGCCGAGGGGTATGTCACCATTTTCTATGTTTTGTCTTTGTGACCCAGTGCATTTTGTAAATTGAAGTTGTGTTAGCTAAATAAACCCCCCATGAGTGCTCCCCGAAATCATCGTGTTGACGTCTCATCGATTGCCTCCGCGGAGTTTCACCCACACTTATTCGTCTCCCTGGTCGTCCGATGCGCCTAACTTTGAACAACCCCGACGTTTCGCTACAAAGTGGTGGAGGTGCGGGGTAGCGATAGTCCCGCTCTGAAATTATGCCCCGAGTCAACAACGAATATCAGGAACCTACCTCTGACTGCTCTACTATGAAGGAACCCCCTACCTTCTTCTCTGCTATGTCTACCCCCCAAGTTAAACCATTCGTCGGACCACCAGTCTTTAGAGGCGCGCCGGAGGAATCTATTTCCGAGTGGCTACTTTGCTACGAACATGTAGCGTCGCTTAATAATTGGGACCAAGTCACGAAGGTGAAATTTATATATCTGGCTTTAGACGGAGATGCGAAAAAGTGGCACACCACTCAAATTCTAATTGGTGCTCCTAATACATGGGAAGAATGGGCGACGCTACTTAAAACGTCCTTTACGAGTCGCCACTCAGTCGAGATCGCCCATTTGCGGCTACAAAACCGCACCCAATTGCCGTCCGAAACCCCCGAGCAGTACTACTATGACGTCGGACAGCTGTGTGCAAGAGTGAACCCGTCCATGACGGAAGATGATCGGTTGCGGCACCTTATGCGCGGTTTGCGTCCGGATATTCTGGAGAAGATGATAATCGCAAACCCGGAGAGCTGCACTGCATTCCTCCAAATTTTGCAGCGCATAAATCTGGCAGCTTTGATGAGCCGTGCGTCGGCGCCACAACCGATTGGCATCCAGTATTCTACCGGATTGCAGTCGTGCATGCAAAACATCGCGCATCCCGTAGGGTTCGCACCCGCCGCAGTGACAGGGCAATCTCCTCCTACGTGTGTCACCACCTGCGCCGCGGCCGAATCGCGTTGTCCACGGGAGGCTGCCGACCGCGAAAGAGACCTGAAAGCGATGCTGTCTGACCGGCTAAAAAGCATCGAAGACGAGGTGCGTCGCCCCCCAATGCCTTGGCCTCAGAGAACTTCCCGTGCCAATGACGGGCGTCCCCGATGCCAGATTTGCCGCCGCATAGGTCACATAGCACAACAGTGCTCGCAGCGGTTCCGAGATGACAGGAACGATCAGGCGGAGCTCCACGGCAATCAGAATGTGCAGCCTAATCCTTCGGGAAACGAGAACGGCCGGGCCTAGGGGGCCAGCCCGGCCGCCCCATCGGCACATTGTCGGAAGGTCAGCTTCTCACAGTCCCCACACGAGCCAACGGTACAGAAACGTTGCGACACCGCCCTGGCCTCAAGAATGGAAATGCCGACACGCTTTCCCGCCTTCCTCATGATCCCGCGCCTGTAAGCGAAGAAAACCCCTTACCGTTGCTGGTTCTGGATCAGGTGGATGTTGGAAAAAAGCAGAGGGCAGACCCATGGATGAAAGAAATTATGCAGCACCTCGAGCACCCGGATGCGCCCGTTGTCAGGAAAACTAAAAGAACGGCACGGAGCTTTCGGTTGATCGACGGTGTACTGTATCGAAGGGCGAAAGGGTTTCAGGAGGATCGTGCTGCGCTCGTTGTCCCCAAGTGCTTGAGATCTGAGATTTTAAGGTACTGCCATGACGCCACCACGGCAGGCCACTTAGGTGTCAAGCGCACATGGGAGAAAGTTCGTTGCCGATATTTCTGGCTGAAGATGTTCTCGTACGTAAGCAAGTACGTTCTCTCCTGCCCCGACTGCCAGACACGAAAGCAACCACCGGGGAGGCTGGTCGGTTTCCTCCAACCGATCCCACCTGCAGGTCGACCTTTTCAGCAGGTGGGCATGGACTTTATTGGGCCTTTCACTAAATCCAAAGCAGGGAACCGCTACATCGTCGTGATTACCGACTACCATACGAAATGGGTCGAGGCTGTCGCGTGTCCAGCGGCCACTGCCGCAGAAGCAGCCAGAGCTTTCGTCGAACAAATCGTCCTACGTCATGGTGCCCCGGAGAAAGTAATAAGCGATCGTGGGCAGCACTTTGTCGCCAACTTGACCGAAGAAGTATTCCGGCTCGTGGGTAGCGAGCATGCCACCACAACAGCATACCACCCACAGGCCAACGGCTTGTGCGAGCGTTTTAACCGCACGTTGGCTGACATGCTCAGCATGTACGTTTCCTCACACCACCGCGACTGGGATGAACTCCTACCGTACGTTCTTTTTGCATACAATTCTTCCACCCACGAGACGACTGGATTCACTTCCGTCTTTCTTCTTCACGGACATGAACCGACACTACCGGTGGATGTAGGGTCGGGCGCGCAACGCGGATTCGACTACACCCTGGATGCAATGAA